AAAGACACCAGGCAGGTGAGAATCTAGCAGCAAATACTCACTGTTATTCAGGAGTTTTAAGGAATTCCAATCTATTGTAGTGAGAAGGCATAAGCTGTAGGACTGCACTAGGGCTCTCCTAGTGCAGGAGAAGATCCGTGTACTTTCCTTCCCTGCTTTAAAGAATTGAAACAGTGTGGAAATTAGTATATAATCAGATTTATAATTACACTGTAAAACACTTATGATATTAGGCAAGGCTGGGAAAGTTATCTAATTTTCAGTCCTCAGCTACTTGTGATTCCCCTCCCAACAAGTGTTTAACTCTCTTGAAGTTCATAACTTCCTTGTAACTAGTTACTACTGCTCCATTTTGTTCCTCTGAAAAGTTGCTGGAAAGGCAGCAAGAGCTCCCCAGAGCTTCCTAAAGCAGTGGGAAGGGCAATCCCTTTCTAACTTGCTAGTCAAAGGTGTGGGAATTTGCCAAAAAAAATTTTTGCCCTAAGAGGGGCACTGCTGATTTCTTTAAGAAAATGTTCCAAAATAGGTTTTGCTGAACTTCCAGTAAAACACTAGCATGTTTCTGAGGAAGAGCCAGTAGACTCACAGTGCTGCGGTGGACTTCACAGGGAAGTGCTGGCAAGGGGATGGACTCCACAAAGTGGGCATGTCAGAGTGTGGGCCTCCCAAAAGCAGAAAACCATGAGGACTTGTGTCCTCACAGCACCTGGAAGGTCCCGTTTCCTTCAGACACGGCAGCAAGCCCTGAGAGCCACATCTCACAGTGAAATGTCCCCTCTTGTGCTTCACACTGGAAATTTCACCTGGATGAAACACTTTACTGACCTGCTGCCCTTGGCCTTCCACACCCACATCCTTGAGGCATCCTCCTCCCAGATGCCATCCAGCACCAGAAACATTGTGTTGCACTCCAGGGCTGCAGCAGGGGGTACGATCAGCAGGTACTGCAGGTCACCATCCTTGGGTCACCAGATGTCACCCACAGCACCTCTGCCTTCAGAGGCACGACCTTAAAACATTTCTTTCCGTGTGAGCAATGATGGATGGACAAGCTAAAGGTATAAAATCGCCCTTTTTCTCACAGAGACCACAGTAACATTCAGCCCCACTCCCACATCAAGCTCAGGTCTGCATTTTAACATATACATTAAGGAGGCTGTATTAAAAAAAAAAATTCTAATATTATGCTTTTGAATAGAGAATTTACCTAAGTAAATAATTATTTTTAAACCCAAGATTTAAGCAGCTTTAGTATTCCACATTATGCTAATGTTTGACAATTACCAAGTGTGGGTATCAGCCAGCATTTTTTTTTTAAGTTTAATTTAAAGCAATTTGACATGGAAAGGTTATTACTTTAGTTGCCAATAAAAGCTGTACTTTTAACATAAGTGTACACCAAGCCCTAGGGTATGTGACTATTATCTTTTCTGCAATTATGTGGTGTTCTACATAAATGTTTAAAAAAAAAAAAAAACTTAGAAATATCAAAAGTACTAACTTAGACGCAGTATGAAAGTTGAATAGCAGAGCCGGGAAGCCCGGCTCCCGCAGACACAACACAGGTTGAGGTTTCCTCCTAGAGGTACCGCCGGGAACGGCGCCTCCGCCTGCACAGCATCGCATCCCCCTCTCCGCATCCCTCCTGCACCGCATCCCCCTGCTCTGCATCCCCCCTGCACCGCATCCCCCCTGCTCTGCATGCCCCCACACCACCTCCCCTGCCCCCTGCTAGGGGGAGGGGAAGGCTTTTCTCACATTCTTCACAGAATCACAATGGTTCTGGCTGGAAGGGACCACAGTGCGTCTCCATGGTCCCACCTCCATGATCAAGCAGGGTTATTCTAGAAAACATAACACGGTGTTGAAGCCAGATAGTTCTGGAATATCCCCAGTGAGGGAGACTCCACACCTTCTCTGGGCAGTCTGTTCCCGTGGTCTGTCATTGCACAGCAAAGTTCTTCCTTGTGTTCAGGTGGAACTTCCTGGGAATCATTTTGTGCCCGTTGCCTCTTGTCCTTTGACTTGGCATCACCACCATCCTCTCAACACCTTCCTTTTGGACATCAGAATTGGACTTCTAGATATTGACATAAACCTCTTGACCTTTGTTTTTGCCTTTAAAGGGGAAATTGGTGCTTCCACTTGGCCTTAGGGCTGCGTCTCAGGAAGAGACCCCATGGCTGTAGCAATGAGCCTCCCCCCCAGCACAAGGCAGAGTGTGGGGAGCCCCATGCCCAAGGAGCAGCCACCCCACAGTTCCCAACACAAATGTCAAGTTTGGTGCTACCACACAGAAGCAGCACTGCATGGTCACAGCCCTGCCTTTGCATGGAAATCAGCCATTTTCCTCAGGAAATTCTGTGGGAAAGGGTGAAGAGCACAGTGCCATTGCCAGAGCTCCCAAATGGATGAAGCCCTGGGTTCAAGGCCAGGCAGGATGAGGTTTTGAGCAGCCTGGTCGAGGGCAAGGTGTCCCTGTCTGTGGCAGGGTGGTTGGAACTAGAAGATCTTTAAGATTTCTTCCAACCCAAACCATTTGATGACTCAACAGGCCTGTGGAGGAGAGAGATGAAAGTGTTTCCTTAGGAAGAGACAGACCAGCTCATACATACAGGGAGAAAGACACCTCCCTTCTGACACATGGCCTCCTCCAGGATGTTTCTCTGGGCAAAGTGAGGGTGCCATGAAAAACAAAAGTAATGTGAGGGTATTTGACAATTAGCTTGAGGACTTGGCACCAAGTGCTGCGTCCCCTTGGGCTGCTTAGTCCTGTGTAATGGAGGGAGAGACAGCCCTTCCACCAGCCTCTCTGGGCCAACATGGGGCAGGGCCAGGGCCCACATGGGCACACAGCAATGCCCCACACCAGCCTGTGCAGGTAAGCTCATTCCTCTGCTCTGCCCACTCAGCCCTTCAAAGGCAGAGCCTGGGGGCAAACAGAGCAGGCGAGACAAGCTCTAGTCCAAACACTGGAGGCTGCTTAGTTAAGAGATCATTCTGATTTTTTTTTTTAAGTCTAGGTGATTTTTTTTTTTTTTTATGTCTGGGTATTGTTTTTAACTTGAAACTTGTGAAAATCACAGCATGACCTTTACTGGCTGAAAGTCTTCCCGAAACCCGGGCAGTGAAGTTCAGCTTCCTGAAGCGCCCTGCCTGTGCCTTTTGTGCTGAGCTTCAACCATCTCCAGGTAAGGAATGGAAGTTCAGCCTTAGCAGTCCATTCAGTCTTTTGTCTTTCTTCTGAGAAAGTGAAAACACTGCTCATAGTTCCAGCGCCAATTGTAGTTTGTGTTTCAAATTAACTAAAGTTCATTATTTTACACTTTAGGTAGAAGCTGTAATAAACTATTCACCAGCAATCCAAGCAATAGTATACAAGCCCCTCTAGGATCCCTTGGAAGAGCTCCTGATGAGTTCACCAATGTTTGCACATTAACCTCTGGGTGAAAAGCCAGCCAGAGGGATGTGAGAACTCCACTGAGCCCTCCAGAGCATGACACAAAATGATGCAAGTGTGGGAGCTAGGAGAGAAAAGGTTTTGTGAGCCCAGAAAAATAATAAAACATTTAAATCCTTAATTGTTTTTCTTGAAGATTTATCCAAAATCAAGCTCTACTTAAGCCTGTGAGTTCGCAGAGCATTGTCAATAAATTAGATCATGCACACAAGGCAAGGATTTCAAGCCAAAAATCTCTAGCCCTGAGTCGCTTAACAGCAGCACTCCCCAGAAAAACGACTCAAGATGAAACATGAGATATGTATTAATTATCAATGGTCTAATAGAAAATTTAATGAAGACAAGTATCTTCTTGCACTTTATCCATGATAACGATGATAGTACGTCAGCGAGGCGCATACCTTACAACGTAGCAGTGAATGTCAAGTCTGAAGCCATTACAGCAATTCCCCACAATAATGGCCAGCCAATGCATGGGCTTGTAGCACTTAATCAAAGTAATGACATCCATCCACAATTATTTATGTTATGGTAACAAAGAGCTGCCAAATGCAAAACAAATGACACGAGGATTTGCAAGTGAATTTCTTCCCGTAAATTCTCCTTAGGTTATGCTGTAGGGCCCTCAGAATGGAAGTCTCTCTTTATCCAGGGCAATATCAGAACCGTGGGGTTATTGTGCTACGTTTTACTGCCTATAAGCAATGAACCCAATGCTATCACCAAAAGGGGCTCTTCAGCCAACAGAATTGTATCAATATCACTTGAGCTGGCCTTGGTTTAGACCCAGGAGTTGTCTTCAGAATTTTACAAGAGGAAAAAGAAATTATTTGGAAGATGACCTTTGCTTACTTCTGTCTATCATGGAAAACAAAGACCCAGTTGTATCAACACTTAAACACACATTTGACTTAAAGTATATGAGCAGTCCCTACTTACCTCAATAGGTTTGGATTAGAGCCATTATAATTACCAACCATGAATCTCTATTAAGTGCAGCACTGTTCTTTCAGGGGCATTTATGTGGGTGTTTGTATAAAAACACTGTCAAAAACTAAAGAACACCAGAAAATATAAAATGGCAACATTCAGGTTCAAATGTAATGAACTAATTTATTTTTTTTAACACTACATCCAACTGTTTTTCACCACTCACAGATGTCACTGGAACAACTTGAATTCAAAAAAATTGCCTAAGAACAATAAACTACACAGACCAGTTAATATTGATTGCTTTAAAAATGCCCCCTGTTAAACTTAAATAATAGCCAAATCTCACTGCTGTAAATGCACTTTTATATCATTAAATACTAATTTAACAAAAACGTGACTGCGCAGTGAAAAACGCGAAAATGCTGGAAAACTGAAAGATTGCCCTTTTTTTTGCCTTATTCTGCTTGTGCATTATACAAGTCTCCAAATTAACACCTGAATGAAGAAAACAATAATTTCATATCAACTGGCCACGTAGTCACACAAGCCAAAGCTGGGACTGAGATTAACTCTAATACACACTTTCTAAGGCCCGTGAGAAGGGAGACCGCAGGACGCCTCTCACCAAAGGCTCTGGCCACCCTCAATGACCAGGTTATGGCCTGTCATGTAGTCAGAGGCTTCAGAGGCCAGGTAGACCACGGCAGCCTGCAGGTCCGTGGGCTGGGCCAGCCTCCCGGCCGGAATGTCAGCCAGCCAGCGCCGCACCAGCGGCCGCAGCTCCCGCGAGCGGATCAGCGGCGTGTCAACGATGCCCCTGCAGTGAGCACACGGAGCAAGGGTTTAGCAACGAGTCCTGCCCAGAAGGAAAGGCAGCTCCTAGAGGTGTTTTATGTTAATTCAGAATGTTAATTCAGAAGGAAAGCAGGGTAACAGCACAAAGGAGAGTAGCGCGTCCAGCCTGCTCTGCCCTTGCTGAAAGTCATGGTGCAAACTTCCATAGCGCTCCTTTCCTATCATCACCTTTCGCTGCTGATGCGCAGCTCAGGGGTTTCCTTTCAAGTACACATACACTCACACAATCTTCTTAGCTAATAGCACAACCCCCTTACTTTTAGATTACCCACAATCACCACTTTAAATTTCTTTTCTAGAAAATAAGCACAGCATTGGAAATGAAAGTGCCTTGAGTTGGGTCTGTCATGGCTCTTGGGAACTGTTGTCCTTCCACTAATTTCTCATCCCTCTACAACTAATGTCATACATTGTGCTTATGTACAGCCCAGAAACTGAAAACAGACCAGCTCCCCATATGTCAAACGAGGGGAACAAAAGCCAGCACCCTTCTGGGCACCAGAGCCTTTCCACCCAAAAAAAGGAGGGGCAGAGATAAGCACAACACAGCCAGTGTGATCCCCCTTAAACCAACACCTAACAAATCACACTGATTTTCCTGTCATGCCTCTTTTACATTAATGACTGACTCCACTATTTACTAAAACTCTGCTAAGTTTGGTTTTTTTCAGGTACCATAAAAATGATTCTACTGGAAGCACAATGCAGGGCAAGGATTTGGCTGGCTTTTATGACTTTAACTGCAACTGATTTGTCATACTCCTCCTTAACAACATATTTGTATTTTGCGAAATGTATAATTTTTTCAGCCCCTGAACAAATATATTTACATAACTGTGTCTAACGAGAAATTACATTTAACTTCTCAGAAATGACAATAACTAAAACCTGAACTGCCAATTCCACTTCATTAGTGTGGTAGAAATGCATTCCAAATGTTAATAAAAATTCCAACATGCTGATAAATTAGCGCTTCTAAGGAGCATGTGACACCTTGGTTAACATATTCAACCTCAATTATATTTCTCTTCAGCACCCTGTTATCTGGAACCTTTGCTGGCAATCAGAGGTGCTGTTTTTCAGCGGCCAATTTTCTAGATAATGTAGCTTATCAACACTGTGGGTAAACTTGCCAATGAAATCAGGCTGCACTGAACCACACACACGCTAATTGCATCTCTTTTTTATGCATATTTACAGACTGTCACTTCAAAGAAATCAGTGGCCCATTGAGGCAGCCAGTTAGCTGGAAGAATTGCCTCTTGCAAATGAAAATTAGCAAACAAGCTAGTGATAAATATGAAATGAACAAAGTATAAAAATACTCGTTTTGTTCTGAAACTTCATCGGCATCCCAATTTAGACTTCCAAGGAAATAATTTTTTGAGACAGACTGGATTCTGGGTATGAGATTTACCTTTTGTTTTAAATGAAGGCTGAAATCCACTATTTACTCTGTTATGAAGTAGAACTAATTCAGATTTTCCCCCAAACATTTCTGTTCGCACTAATCAGGCAGGATTTAAATATCAGCTTTATGTTTTGTTGTAATTGTCAATAAAGAGCAGAGCAGTTCGGAAACACTGAGCAATGCAGCTCACTTAAGTTCTGGCAATGTAACAAAATCAAGCACATTCCAGTATAGGACTGAGAATGCTTTACTTATTTCCTTCAAGCAGAGCCCCATGGTCTCCTTTGCTTTCCTAAACTCCTCAAGAACTGGTTTTCTTCAGAGAGAAACGTGCTTTGAGCAGCAGACATGAAATATATTGAACTCCTTTCCCTTACGTGCCTCTCTGAGCTTACAAAACCATCACCATCGTCATCATCATTCTGGCTTTACACTAGCAGAGACCAGAATAAGATCCATATGATTGTCTTTTTTTTTTTTTTTTCATTTACAGATACATTTTATCCCCAAGAGAATGTATATTAGGGAATAAAACATACAGTCCTCCAGCACAACAGATTTTGCTAAAAAGAGGACGTTTTTCAATCTGTTAAGAAAAATGATCTTTGGTCTGATCACTGCAGTCTGCAAATCACCATGCTGTGCCTCTTGCTGGACCTTTCTTTAGGTTCACTCCACGTAACAAAAATTTAGATGTGAAACCAAACTTCACTACAAATTTTTCTTATAGAAATGGGAAAAAAATATAGCGCAAAACTTAAAAGTTGCAAACACACATACTGATGGCACTATAAATATTAGGCATGTCATTGATACTACACATCTTCTGGGAAAGCTTGGTGCCAAGTTGGGCAATTTAACGTTGTCGAACCCTTTTAGGCAGATTTTAGTTGGCTCCTAACCAGTTCCAGCAAAGACAACTGCCAATGCATTAATTCCCTACCTCATCTCATATGCAGTGCTGAGCCTATCAGTGCTTTCTGTTGCATGTCAATGTAATATCAAACTGCTGGTTCCTTAATGTTAGATATGAGCATCAATATTTCATTATTGATACACAGGACAATGTTGGACATGAAGGGGGGAAAAAAAGACTGCTAAAAATAAAGGAGAAAAAAACAATTGCCTGAAACATTTCCACTTTGAGAGACGCATTAGGAAAAATATCACTTACCAGATACTTAACTGGAATTGTTACGTGCACTCAATCCCCAAATGAGAGCAAAAAAAAGATTCCATCTGTGTGTAACTTGATTTCTTTCAGATGAGTTATTAATTTGAATGAGTTAAGTACACTCCACTTAATCAGGAAGTGTTTAATCACAAGATCCACTTAATTGGGACATCTCCCAAGGAATTAAGATTTAAGTCCAAAGATACTTACCAGCAACGACTGCTGCTTAATGGGGATAGTAAAGCTGCTTAATTGGGATGCCTTCAGGTGATGCTGGGGTGCTCCTTCACCTGCCAGCTCTGCCTCTCCTTCCCTGTTATGGGGTGTTCCCCACACCTGCAGTGATCCTGCCCTGCCTGATTTCTGGGGCTGCAAGTCTGGTGCAGCACTGTGTGGCTGCCTTCAGAGGAGCAGGGCAGGATGCAAGGCACACAAAGGCTCTTTGCCCAGCAGCCCACACCCAAATCCCTGCATCCCATCTGGAGGGAACACAGTTCATCCCCCAGGGCTGCTGGCCTGGCTGCAATTTGACCTTAATATCAACTTCCAGCTGCCCATCCCAAAGGTCATCACATAATTGCATTTCATGTCTGTTTAATCAAGAAGGCAGTAATTAGCCCAAAAAATGGACATTGATTCAGTGTAATGGCTGCAAAAATGACATGTTCAATGCTGCACATGCCAAAAACCAGACACCTCCCAGAATTTCCTCTTCCATCACACCCAGCACACTTCCATGTCCTGGAACCAGCAAAGAGACTAAACCCTGTGGGCAACTGGGCATCACTCAGTGCTCTGTAAAGTTCCCTGATTAAAGCCAGGCACCCTCTGCAGTTTAACTACCACTTTCATTTCAGGAAGACTCCAGGACCTTCATTTTTTTACATCAGCTGTGCAGCAGGCTGTGAGATGATGGCACTGGATGGTGGTGCAAGCACTGAGCACAGGTTCCACGATAGCAACAGCACATCAGCCAAAGGGATCTTTAGGTAGATCCAGGGAATCTCAGCCACCTTCTCTCCCTGGGCATCAGGTTTGACTGGCCAGCAAGAGAAGCCTGCATGTTCAATTTTATAAATGCAATAAATCATCCTAAGGACTCTGTCATAACATTTTATGCATTGCTAACTTTTATGCATTGCTCTGCATAAGTTTTATGCACTCATTAAGAAATTAAGTTGATAAAAAGTGACCAGATAGGAAGAGGGGGGAAAGGCCAAAAGGTTTGCATGGTGAAATAATGTTTAAGGCCAGACTGGAGCATTTGGAACTTCAGACAGAGGCACGCTGGGAGTGCCTTAAAGCTTTAATGCAACCATGACTGGGAGGGGCAAAGTAGGACATAAATATTTTACTTATCCAGAGCTGATCTTGGGTACTATTGTGCCTTATATCTACATCTGTTCTCCTCAGACTCCTTAAAATCCCATCCTGTTATAAGAGGACACTGAGGCTTCTGCTGTTCTGAGTACTCAGATCAAGTGTGTTGAATGTGTCCCTGGTCCTCAGTGAGTCACATCAAGAGACAGCAACAATAGTGGGGTTCTCAGTTCCAGGGATGGGACCAAATGTGCACTGAAATGTGCAGGTTCACATCTCACACAGATAGGAATATAAATGTGAATAGTTATTCACTCAGAAACCTGTGGCTTTTGCTCATGTGATGAGGGATCTGCGCTCCATGAGCTGCTGCAGGCTCCTTCCTCGTGACCAGAGATCCCTGGACAATCCCATAATGAGGGGCTCAGCCAGAGCCTGGAGGTTCTGTGAGGGAAGTTCTGCTGGTCTCCAAAACAGCTCAGTCCAGGTTCCCACCTGCATTAGGGAAATCTGCTCTGTTCACAACAGGGGAACTCAAAGACAGCAAAATATTTGTTCTCCATGTGTCCTTCCTGGCTATTCCTCCAAAAAGGCAATACATCACCTGCTTTTTGTTGTAGGATTTTAAGATCAGAGCTAGAGTTTAAGACAGGTAGAGATTATCAAAATGCAACCCTGTGCTGCCTTGAAAAGTAGAAAGAGAAGCTGTCTATTTTTTCTCCATGCTCTGGCAACTGTCTCCAGAAACTTAACTTCTCTAGAAGTGAGATCAAAATGCAACCCTGTGTTGCCTTGAAAAGTAGAAAGAGAAGCTATTTTTTCTCCTTGCTCTGGCAACTGTCTCCAGAAACTTAACTTCTCTAGAAGTGAGTGCTTGCTTCCAAGCTGTACAAAACAATGAGTTTTGATCATTTGGTGCCTATTTTTTAAATTTATGTAAGCTCCTAAGAAATGGGTAATTCCTCCTGTAAGAGCCTTCTCATCTGTAATTGCTGTGAATGTGGCACAAGTATCCCACCTCTGCTGGTGCAGATTACCCGTATGTTTTCAGACACAATTCCTGCCAGGTCCTGCTGAGCTTCCCTAATTCCCTTCATCTCCCCAGCTCCCAAAAGCCAGTGTAAATTCACTAGTGCTAGTTGTAGGAGCACCATTACAGTGCTGCTAGCATGGGCATGGGGAAAATCCCATTAGGAAGTAAGATGCTGTTGAAAGAATCTGTGGATCACGTAGAGCGACGGCTGGAGTCTCTGGTATAATTAGTAATAAATAATCATAAGGAAGACAGCTAGCACAAGCAAGGGGAGAGCAGAGCAGTGGTAAAAACAGAAGCACTTGCCATTAAGCTCTGTGATTTTTTTTCTCCCCCTCCACTTTGTGGATTAAAATATGTAATTTGTTTTCCCTAATTTGATCTACATTATTATCTTCATTATTACAATTTAACTCCTGGGTTAAAATCCTGCCCTTCTTAGTTACTCTGATTGACTTCAATGGTCTACAGAATTTGACCGCTTCCAATTAACGCTATCCACTTGGGTTTCTGCTCAGCACTATCATGCACTGCTAATTGTTTAATAAAATGACTGGTTGGGCATGTGTGTGAGAATCGGGGAGAGACAAAGTCGATCTGGTAGGAAAACTTTTCTTTGTGAATAAATACCCTAAAACATAGAGCTTGAAATCTCAAAAAATAAGAAAAATGTAGTTTATAATTAATATATATATATTTACAAAACTACACCTGGCCTCCTGTGTCTGTTGGAGCTGAACAGTAGCTCAGTAAAATGTAGCTTTTAAAGTGCCTATGTATTTGTCTCGAGTAAAAAGGGAAAAGAAGTATTGTCTGCTAATTGTCAAAAACCCTTTCTTTAACCACAGAAGGCTTGGACAGACTAAGGAAATATTTCATCTGGAAGGGAAATGCTAAAAACTACCCTTCACATTATTGGAAAACCTATTACCAAACGCTAAAACCTCTCCTTAAATCCCTGAGTATACACAGCAACAGAGCAGGCTTGGTTCTAAGTATTTAAACCTTTGTTAAGGAAAAGACAACATAAAAAGGGATGCAATCCACCTGCTAATTAGAAACTTTATTTGCTGAGATAGTGTTCATTTCAGCTTTGTAGCACATTTCATTCCCTTTGTAGTTTCAAAATGAAACTACATTTTACTTACGGGGAAATGCAGTTGACTTTTACTCCTCTGTCAATCCACTCGGCTCCCAATGTCTGTGTTAATTTTACGACCCCGGCTTTGGAGGCGTTGTACGCCAACTGCTTCTGTGGGTGAGGGACTACAAGGGATTCAGAAGAAGAAAATTATTTATTCTTCCCAAATTAAAACAGCTCAGGCACTATACAGACAACTCCCTGCATTGAGATGAGCTATTTGCCCTTTTCCCAGGCGCCAGGCAGGGAGCAGCAAGAATTCAGCCACCTACAACACAAACCCCTAAATATGTATTTTGCCATCTAACAATTTTGTCTCAGCAGATGGGCTGCTGGAAAACAATGGTGAAAATAAAAATAAAGACATTTAAAAGATCCCATGTTTGGGCAAAGACAAAACCAATGTATTAAACATATATATGCAATACTTGACAGCTCTGAAGGAAGATAAATAATCATGTACACACATACACATTCCTATATTGTACACATATGTATGTTTATGTACTTCTGCACTGCAACACCAATAAAATATATTATCATGTATTATATCAAAATATAAATAATATAAATATAATCAAAATATATGTCAAAATATTATATAATGAATTATATAATGTCTAACATATGTATTCTGTGTTATGTAATATATGAATATTATTTATAATATTATGTGGTAGATAATATGTGATAGCTGAATGTAACAGTAAATTGTTTGATATGACATTATATGATAGAATATGATATAAGTGCATAATAGATTTTTATATAACTTATTATATATAGATTCTTGGAACAAATTATTCTCCCTAATTTTTAAATTATCCATAGTCTGAGGAAAACACATCTTATGATCTAACTAATGTTTGTGTGGATGTGAACACAGGTGCATCCCAAAAATTCAGAACACCCACCACTTTCAAAATCTGAAGCTTTTGAAAATGTTTCAGAGATGTCACATGTCAGTCAAAGACAGAAAATGATCAGCTTGCTAATTACAATGTTCAAGCTTGTTAGTGCCGTGTGCTCGGGTGGCTCTGCCCCTCTCCAGCTCAGTGAAAGCTACTTAAGGACAAATCCCCAGTGCGTGTAAAGTGCCTTAAACCCACGGGAGTCAATCCAAGTCAGTCCAGGTGTTGGCATTCACACCCACAAAATATCTCTCCTTGGACTTTTCTGGCTGTCATTAGGACTTCATTAAACAAATCCAGTGCAAAACATCCATCCATAATTAGCTCTGTAGCAGCACAGAGCTTCACTGAGCTGCTGACTCTGATGGAGGGACAGAGTGGGAAATCAGGGCAAATATCAGTAGTCACAAAGACAGGCAATTCCAGCCTGTGGGGTTGGATAATGCTGAGCCCTGGAAGAAAGGGAATCACTGGCTTTGTGCAAGGTTCAGCAGCCAAACCCCAGCTCCCAACATTTTGATGGAAGCACATAAGCAGCACTGGTAGCTGGCATTAAACTGGTCTCAATAAATTAAGCTGATGCATCAGTTCTATATCACCCCCACCCATGGCATCCCAACACACCCACTACTGATTTTATTGACTTAAAATCTTGGGTTTGAATATGTCAGTGTAAAGGGTGGAAAGAAGGTGATAACTGAGTTACCCAAACTCTGAAAGAGCCAAAAAGCCCTGCTGCAAATCAGTGAATATGTGAACAAGGACCTTTGCCCTGAACAGAGATGTTTGTGAATAGATTTAAAGCACACACATGATGGCAGCAACAATTAGAGGGGTTTTTTCTGCATATGCTTCAGGTTTGCTAGAACTTAGAGACCTTTCCTTTGCTAAAAAGAGCATTTCTTACCATGGCCCTCCTCTGCCAGCATTTATTCTGTGCCCTTTTTTGTTCAATATGAAATAATTTGCATTTTGACCAGCAGAACTGCTTTGCCCTCAGTGTGTGCCTGTTGCCCCCTGACGCAGCGCGCCGTGGGGGCTCTCGAAGAGAAGTGGAATGTAATTTCTTGATTAATTGCCATGCATCAGCTCCAAGTTACATACAACTTCGGTAGTTAACCTTGTAACCTCCCAAAAGCAGTTCTTTGCTAAACTTTCCAAACATGTCTGTCTGTGATAAATCATTTTGGTGATCACTTGCTAAGAGGAGAGGAGTTCTGGCACTGGCTCTGCACCTGCAGTGCATGTGGGTGAGAACAAGGTGCTGCAAGCCACAGGAATCAGCCTCTGACTTGGGTGATGGGACACAGCTATCAAAAGTCCTTCCATGGTATTTTGTCTTTATAAGAATATCTGAAGAAGGTAAGTAGGGGCGTGAAATTTTCCCCTGCTGAGACACTCAGCCCCTCTTAGTTGGGAGAACTCAAGGAGAAGCCAACAGCTGCTGTGAATCTCTGGCGTTGGGTGGGATTTCTGCAGCTAAACACCACATACCACCTCCTCTTCCCTTACATAAGGTGGTCTCTTACAGAGAGAAAAGCAAATCTGTAACCCTCCAAACTCATGCAAAATGGGGTTTGTGAATAAAGCCATGCCTCCAGCAGTGTCACAAAAAAATCTGCATTGCTAAGGCTTCTGGGAAGCGAGGACACTCACTCCTATTCAAGACAGATTAGAGGAGAAAGCAGATAAAAATTCTGCCATCACATCAGCTGTGTTTTAAGCACCTTTGTTCTGATTTTGGCTGTTTTGGGGTGGGTTTTTTTTTTGTCCCAGTAACAGTTACAGTGCTGTGTTTTGATTTAGGATGGGAATAATGTTAACACACTGATGGTTTAGTTGTTGCTGAGCAGGTCTTACTCTAAATCAAGGACTTTTCAGGGCCTCCTGCTGCCCTGCTAGGCAGGGCAAAAGAACCTAGGAGGGGGCACAGCCAGGACAGCTGACTCTAACTGGCCAGAGGGATATTTCAAGTCACATGGCATTGTGCTGAAGAACAAATATTTTTGGTTTTTTGGGGTGAGTTGGGTGGGCACACTGACTGGGCATTGGTCAGTGGGTGGTGAGAAACTGCACTGTGCACCACTTGTTTTTTATGTTCTTTTTTCCTTATTATTATTTACCTCCCCTTTTCTGTCCTAATAAACTGTCTTTATCTCAACCCACGGGTTTCACCTTTTTTTCCTAGATTGTCTCTCCCATGCTTGGTGGGAGGGAAGAGCCGTGGGGTTATACCACAGCAACCTGACACTGCTGTCACACCCTTGTTTGGTGCATCAGGCTCCCAGCCTGACCTTGAAGCAGCCACACAATATTAGTGAGAGGTGCACACAGAGCAGAGCAGACACTTCCCCCTGAAGATGTTCACTGTAAAAATTACAGCCCTGAGTTACACCTGTGTGAACGGCCGAGCCGCCGCTGCTGGAGCGAACGCCTGGAATAATTCCATTGGAACACCAGAATCAAAATGCACATATGCAAAATGTATGCAGCTTATCTTTGATTAATTAAAGCTGATTCTGAGCAGTGTATCTGGAAAAATCACAAACAAAAACCTCCCTATCCTGCTAAGTGTCTCCTCATTTTCCTGTATCTCTTAGGAAGGACTCAACCTACAACAACAACAAAAAAAATATCCCCTAACTATTTCTAGAAACATTTCATACTATGCCAGTTGGCCAACGTACTTAAATAACCAACCAACCAACATATTTATTTAACATTCAGCAGATGGACATGATATGAACATCGTGGTTTTCAGTCGTAGTTTCGTAACTACTAGATTTTCTCAATGCCAAGATTCAAACAGGTTCAGAAGGTAAACACATCTCTCCATCTCTTAACTTCTGGCCTAACATGTATTAACTTTCACTGACATTTAAATGCATCTTGGGATGACCCTTCCAGGTTGCTCTCAGGGCTGCTTTCCAATGTTCCTTTCTGTTCCAGGACAGGTACTGCCCTCAAATGTGATCCCCTGGGCTTGGCTCACCAGCCAAGGAGGAGCAGCTCCAGGCTGGGACTGGGATGGATGCTGTGTTGGAATGGCATCACCACCCAGCTCGGCAGAGCTGTGCCAAGCCCTGATGGAAAAGTTGGAAAAAACCTCTCCTGAAGCAGAGCAGACCACTGCTGGGCTGCAGCAAGGCTGGGAGATGTGTGCCAAACCAGCAGATCCCCAGTTTGTGCCAATTCCCAGAGCTTCCTAACTTTCTCCAGGAGGGACTACATCCCAGGAAATTTTGCTTTGTGACAATGATGTGGATGGTGACAGCCCAAGCACAGACCAGAGCCCGACTGCTCAGAGCAGAGCAGGAAAGCCTGAGGTATTTGAAATTTAAAGCCTCACAATCTTTTCAGAACTACTTTTCATGGGGAGTTTTTGCAACTTTACAAAGTTGGGTGCCTGTGTTTAAGCATAAGTAAAACAGCTGGTAAAGACACTTGAAAAAATATTAACAACAACATTATAAATGGATTTTTGAAGAACCATTTAAAGTTACTGTGCAATAAACTGAGTAGAATGACATTGAATGTCAAACTGGGCACAGTAAAAATAAACATTAATCCAAAGGAAAATAAAAAGACTGCATATTTATGTAACATTCAGCAGATGGACACGATATTAATACAGGGGTTTTCAGTTGTACTTTTATAGCTACTAGATTTTCTTGCCTAACTTGGCAACCCAAGGCACCATTTGATTTTTGGATTTGGACAATACTGCAACAGATGTCCAGACCAATAAAATAAATTCCTAAAGGGCTATGGTTAATTTGTGTAATTGATCAATTTTTGTTACATGGGCTTCAGCTCAGCAGCCTTCCAGATTAGCTCAGCAGTAGGGATTTCATTCCATATGTTACAATGGTTTATTGGTCCTTTTGATGACACTGCTGATTCAGCAGCCTTGGTGCAGGCACCTGTTGGCAATGAGAATGTTATAAAACCCATGGGTACCAGGAAAAATATTGGCACAAAATCCTTTGGGTGGCTTGTAAGCATCAGGGCTCAGCTGGGCTCAGCTTCCCACGTGCCAAGGAGTTTGCCTGGAACAGCATGGAGGGAGCAGCACCTCTCCTCTGGTATCTGCTCCAGAGTCAGAGAAGGTGACTCTGCCTTTTCTATAAAAAGTAATAAGTGCTCTAAAACACTGAGGACAGATAAATGTTGAAAAATGATATCAATAAAAATTTTGTAGTACATTTCCTCTAATACGAAATGTCAGTGATTTACTCCTTCCCAATACAGGTTTAATTGATTCAAATAGCATCGGTAGTAATTAAAATATGGATTCTGAAGCACAACTGTTAGCTCTCATCACTCACCTATTAAACTTGCCATAGATGCTGTGTTAATTATCTTCCCATATCCTTGATTCAGCATAATGCGGCCTGCAGCCTGTGACAGAAATTAAAGGAAAGACCAGTGACCCTTTCTGTGATTGTGCTAATAATGACATGATAATAAATTAGTCTTTTCAGAAGAGTTGATGTGCTAACACTTTTTTTTTTTAAGTACCTGATATAAAAACTTGGTATAAAAATGGCTGATGCAGGGGAAAATCCCATTGCCGTTTCACACCTCTCCACTGTTGGAAATATTTTTTCAAAAAAATCTCAAATGTTGGGAATTCCCCCCTCCAAGCTCTATGGTTTTCAAATAACCACTGTTCAAAAAAAATTTTGGCCATTCTTTAATGCCTGGGCTTGGGTAGCCAAGAAGTACCAGCTGCTTTTGAATATATTGACCAAAATCTGTAATTAATATAAAGCAAATCTCTCCTAAACTCCACCAAAACTAGGACCAATTTTATTGTGATAATTATTAATAAAGTGCTGTTATATCATGAGATAAAGTAAACACTTAGACTATTAGTACACATTTGCAAAACAAACCAGTGCAGTACTTCACACTTACTTGGCAGCACAAAAATAATCCTCGTAAATTAACATTAAAAGTTTTGTCCCATTCCTCCAGGGAAGTCTCTTCACTTGCAGAATTCAGGTTGATTCCTGCATTGTTGCATGCAATGTGGACAGTGCCCCAGCGAGCCACAATTGCACCCACCATCCTTTGCACATCCTCAGGCTTGCTTACATCTGCTGCCAGGGCAAGGCTTTTAATGCCTGCATTGAAATAAGAGTGATGGAGTCAGCATGGGAATTCACAGGGGGAAAAAAAAATTCTATTTTTTTTTCTGTTTTTTTTTTTATACATATATAGTGACATTTTATATATGGCTGTATTTTATATATGAATGTGTGTGTATATATATTCCACCTAATTCATTGCTCCACGAGTAGTAGCAGAACGTGTGTTTGTTACTGCAATACCTTTGTAAAGTTGCTGACTGCTGCGAGGTTCGCTTGCTGGAGAGCAGCCTGGAGCCCAGGTGCGGGAGCACGGCTGCCATCGGGCAGGACGAAGCTTGGAACACTGCACCATCTTCTGTCCAAACCCTCAACTGCAGCTTCCCCAGCTCCCAGCCACTCTGCAGAGGCTTTTCTTATGCCAGGTCCCCCCCAAAGATGCTGCAGAAATCAAATTAATTTGTCCCAAACTGCCCTCTGGGTGAGCTACAGCCTGCAGAGAGATGGGAGCCTCAGACAAACCAAACCAGTTTTAGGTGGGAGCTAAGTGGGAATACCTGCAGGGGCACAGGTATGGCAGTCATAGTGACTTATTTATTGCAAATCACACTGCCAGAATAAAGCAAATATCTGGAAGTGATTTACCAAATTTGAAATATGAAGAAGCTTTGCATTTTTTTCCTGAAATAATCCAGCCATTGACTTTTGCACCAGGGCTGATCTGCAAATAATTTCATTTAATTCATCATAAAAATCAGCTTTAAATAACCTTATTGTTAGACAGCATAAGAAACCTGCTGAGGCACCTGATGCCACTGGGATTATACCCATCCTCAAAGCCAAAGAAGTCTACACCAGTAAGGGCTGTGGTGAAATGGGTCTTAAATAAGGAAGGAGGGAGGCACCACTGGGGTTGGACCATGATCAGCAGTCTGGGAAGGAAGTTGCAGCTATTAAAGCAAGATCTTTTTCTTATATATAAATGACAAATTTGTTCCACACTGGTACCTATTTTAGATCATTCTGATTAAACATTTAAACGAAGGGATAAGCCTATTCCAGGAGGAGTCTCTCCCAAAATGAAGCTGAGATGGAGGTTTCCAGGAAAGCAAGGCAAAGCAGGAATTGCCCAGTGGTGTGTGCGTGAAAAAATGACAGGAAAGAGGCTTTTGTATGGAAAAGCTCCTCCTCATCTCCAGTGCCTCCAGGAGCCTGTCAGAGTGCTCAGCCCGAGGTGATGCCACTCTGGGGTGCCAGGGCATGTGAGCTCCTGTCCCTTTCAGTGATGGCACCATTCTCTTGATTTCCATGGCAGAGAAAAAACACTGACAAATAAAAAATGGATGCATGCTCTGCCACAAAACAAGACCTCTTATTTTATGGCAGGTTTTATGCTAAACATGCTGAAAGAATAATAGCCAGACAGCCCCTGTTGCTCCTCCTAATTGTTATCAAGACATGTAACACACAGGGAGTTACTGCAATCTTCCTTTTTCAATTTACAGATAAAATGGGTGCAAGTGTGTTACTAATGGTAACAGAAAGACTCTTCACCTGCCCTCCAACTCTCACCCCATTTAGAGCTTCATCTTATAGGTCAGTTTATAAAAATGAGACAAAAGGTGCCACATGTGAGTGTCTAGTGAACAAACAGTGAAACCAAGCTCACTTCAAACCAGAGTCCCACACTCCATGTTAATCAGTTTATCTGATATTCCTGCACTCTGAGAGTGGGGAGGAAACCGCTTTCTGTCTCTCCACTGTCCTCTCAAACCACCTGTTAAAAATAATAAATAAAACAAACTATGGGAAAATAGCTTCAAATCTACAGTCGCAAGACATCCAGCACAGGTGGGGCCAGTGCACCTCCACAGTGCTCGGCTCACTTTTGTGGGGCTCATGGAGACAGGTTTGTGATGAGGGGGGCAGGAGAGGAGCCCAGGGGCTCTGTGCTGGAGAAAATCACTGTGCTGGATATGCCTGAGGTGTCCTTCTGCAGGGACAAGCACACGTCCCCCTGCCATGGGCTTCATGTCTGGTGTCTCGGTATAAATGGAAGTAACATGTTGCATATAGACAGGAAGATCAGGAGTGACATTGCACAAGGCATTTGCATAGTTTACAGTGAAAATGCACATTTTAAAAATCCCATCAGACTAATTCTTCCCTTAGGGTACAGGCAGTGATTCCCCCTGAAGACAGAGGTGTGTGTAGTGGAAGGTAACCCTTAGGATTTTTTGGTTATGTTTCATCATTTTTGGTTCTTCAGTCAGGATCCATTAGTAACTGTTGAAAAAGGTATTCACACAGGATCTAAAAACAAAGAGCCCTGCAGCCAAGGGACCTACACCCGAGCTGTCTAACAAAGCTAAAACTGAGATCACAGGCGTTCTGATGTTTAAAACTCATCATGAAATGATGGCACCATCCCAAAAGGCAGGAAAGGGCTCCTTGATATAAGAAGCAGAGCAGCTCTAAGCAAGCTAAGTAAAATGTTTTGAAAAAGTATCAGTATGGGAATGACTTGGGGCACTGAGCTTCCAACTTTGAGTTAGAGATCTACAGCCACAGAGAAAAAGAAATCACAGCCCCTTTGTCCTTATTACAGCAGGAAAAATACGTATTAATGTTATGATTGCTTCAATTTACTCATGTGAATATTTTGAGTGTAAAGCTAGCTGAACCTTTTTGTCAAAATTTATTTCCAACAGAGCATGCTACTTCTTTGAAGCCAAAATGTTTCATGGAAACATTGATTTCAACAAAAAGTTTTCAAGGGAAAGCTTCTGAGGTCCAGGCTAGAATCTCTAGTTACCTCTGGAGAGAAAGAGATTGAAAACCTGACCTTTTCAGATCCTTTCCAAAAACGGGCATTTGGATATAATTCCCTTGCACAAAAGCTTTACAAAGTTTGGGGGTTGTTCCAACAGGGAGCGACAATAAATTCAAAACCTCAAAACCCATCATGAGATGGAAGAGATGTGCCCTGACCAGCTGCACTGGTCAAATTGATAGATAATATTTGACCTCAAAGGATAAAGATGTGTAAAGAGTGAGAAGTGAGATTTTCTTTACTTTAGACTGCAATAATATTTGCCATGCCTCATGACCTCTCCGACTGCATTTTGGAACAACCCCCCACCTCCTCCTGGCTGGCAGCCCACTGCTGAAGGAGCAGAGATGTAGGACAGCCATTGAAGGGTAGATGATCAAACTCCTACTGAAAATGCCCTGGAGATGAGTTAAGTTCATTTTCCAATAGGCTGTTGGCATCCAAAGTCTCATGGCTCTATCAAGTAGCCCATTTCTGTCTGAACAGCTCTGCTTGATATGCAGGATCTCCCAGGGAAACAATGTCCAAAAGGAGAGTTAAGGTGTAGGGCACAGCTACTTTGTGCCAAAACCATCTGGCTCTGGTGAATAAAAGCTTCAGGGAAGGAGGGAATGGATGACTCAAGAATTTGTAATAGGAACTGGACACTTTCTTCTAGGTCATTATTTGGGATCAGAGCTTTAACCATTGCACTGACACTCCATGTGAAGTGTCTCCTGCTTAGCAGAGCTGGGGTTGTGCAGACAGGGATGTTTTGTTTTAAATGTTCTCTGAGGAGCCTCAGGATGGTACCCGAACGAGAATGACACCAGTCCTTGTCTCTTCCCGAGACTGGGTGATATAAATACATCTGCAGGGGCTGGTTTTGTTGGAGAATATGGTTTCTAATGGCAGAAGTCAGAGTGGAAAAAAATACTGTTGACTTTATCCAGGTGGGAATGTGAAAATTTCCTGTGTAATTGTCCATCTTTAGAGACAATGAAGTACTGAACTTTGAAGAAGGCTCAGGTGTAATCTCACAGAATGAATTATAAAATGAGTAGTACTTCCTTTCTTTTATCATTAAAATTATATTTCCAGTTTTCTTTTTCCCCTTTACAATTGCAGTTTAGCACAGCTCTAGGAGGAAATTCGATTTTATGTTACATTTTCTGTTTTTACTGCTAAAACAGAAGTGGCTTGTAGAGGATTTTACCTCTTATTTGGGATTTTACTTATTATGTCTATCAGTATTTTGTTCCCATACCTGACCTTAAATACATGTTTGAAAGAGGGCTTGAAAAATTACTTGTCTTCAATTTAAAGAGCACAATGAGAGATTCAGACTGACAATACAACTACCCTGTTTTGGTGTTTTGGCTCGTGGTAGGAAGAGGGTCTGGAATAGGGTGTAGGTGAGTTTGCTGGCTGTATCTTTCATTCACCCATAGTGAAGCCTGCATGATTTACTTTGAGCAGCACCATCTCTGTCCAGTGCTGGTCATACAGATCTCACTTGTGCAGGGTGACCCTTCTCTGTTCCTGTCAGCAATGGCTCACCACTTTGGACACTTCTAGCAAGGAATTTTGTTTGGATCACTTTGCCTCTCTAGAAGAGTTTATATTGACAAATAATTCTTGCAGATGGTGTGGTATCAGTGACTGCTGGCGCAACACTGACAGGGCAGGAGAAGCTTTGTGCCCATGGCATGAAAATCCTCCACTCCAACCACTTCCCCACCAGGGCTGGATGGGAGTGATTGCTTTGCAGTGTAGTGTCAGATTTGAAGGAGGAAAGCCCCCATTACAGCGCCCACCACGCTCAGCGCTTACCTTTGAGGCTGAGCTCACACGCCACCGCTTCTGCCTTGGCAAGCACCAGATCCACCACGGCCACCTTAGCCCCAGCTTCCCCCAGGGCGTGGGCAAAGGCCCTGCCAATTCCCTGCCCTCCTCCTGTGACATAGGCCACCCTGCCGTCCAAGCGCAGCCGCTCCAGGATGCGGCGCCGGCCGCAGCCCCAGAAGACATCGTCCTTCACCACTTCTGCCTGAAACAAGAGCACAAACACCCTGCACAGTCAGGGGCAGAGCTCACTGACAGCTGTGAAGGACTCTGCTGGTGAGAACGAGGTGGGAGCATGAGCAGGGATCCATGTCTTCTTGGCCCATTAATTAATACAAAAAGCATCACTAATTCAAGCCAAAAAGCCCCCTTATCCATACAGATATTAAGATCAAACACAGCACTAAGGTGCCAGACAATGGAGCAGAAGGGCTGTGCTTTAGGGAGATGCCACAACCATTCCATTTTCAGGAGAGCAGTGTATGGCATTTCCTAGCCTGGCTTGGGTACAAAGTCTCAGAAGTTGACTGATCAAGTCTTGTAGTTATTTCATCCCCAGGGCCCAATCTTGCCCTCAGGCTCAGCTAAGAGGCTAAGAACAAGGTTCCAAAGACAGGATTTGGGTCAAGTAGAGTGCAATCAAAATATCTTCAAAAGGCTGGTGCACAAATAAAGATATCAGCCAATAACTTAAACCAAGCTGTCATCTGATCAGCTGCCATACATCATTTCCCCCTGACTGGAATCAAAATGCAAAATACAAGATGTTTAAAATATTGAGTTTGAAATGCCAGGAATTACCAGTGGGTGTAGCTTTGGGAGTGCTCAGAAACTGCAAAACAACCAGCATGTTTGGGTCTGGGTTTACTGAGGTAGGCCATTAAGATTCCAGATGGGAATTTCATTACAGCTGGATGATGCCCACTACATAAAACAGAGAAAGATAAAAGCACCATTTTTTCCTTAGGACAAGCAAAATGTAAGGCCATTAAAAATATCCAGCTCAGAGAGCACAGGAGGCCATCCTGTGCTGCATTTGAGCAAAAACATGAACTATTTCAGAAATGTTGTTTTGGTTCATTACAGCTGGTCCTCAGCTCCATCTTCCCATGCATGGGAAGGATGGAAGAGCACCAGGCACTGACACCTGGTGAGCAGCACACCAGTCCTTCCAGAGACTCATCACAGGACCAGCTGATCTGAAAGGCTTTGCAAAGAATCAGCATTTATCATCTTTAGTGCAACCCTGGACTGGTGATGCTAAAGGGTGCCAAGCTCTTAGCTGCTAAAACCATGATCACAGTGCCACATGTTTGGGTTCTTGCCACCAAACCTCTGAAAATTATTTTTGTCCTTGTCCTTGGCAGAGTCAAAATATCCCCAGAAATGCTCACAGAGAGGAAATACCCACCTTGGACTCAATCACTGCATCTGGAGGCACAGGGCTCCTTCGGATGAGGCTCAGACCACTCTGCACAGGCAAAATCACCTGCAAATACAACACAATGCTCATCTGCTTGGTACCTGGCTTTCTGTCACCCAAATTCCACTGACATGAAGGATAATCATCAGGCCACAGTAGTTTTTCCCCTACTCCTGTTCTTTAGTTGAATCTCCCTTCAAGACAAATATTTCAGGCATTTGAATTTGCTCCCTTTCCTCTTCCAAACTCATTGCTTACACAAACGCCAGGGAAAAAAATGCAATCTTGTCTCTCCAGTTTCTAAAATCACAAGATATTGTTTGTGCATCCTATTACTTCTTCTTGTTATTCTCTTTGCTGACTCCTGTTGTGCTGGTGATGCCCTGCAGCCCCCAGAGCCTTTAAAGCAGAGTGGTGATTCTTTAGCTGTGCTGTAGAGCTGATTATTTAGTCTTTAAGTGCTCTCCTTTTATCTTGCCTTTTACACACTATAAGATGTAGACAGAGCAGGGACCACTCCTGAATATAGAAACTCATACCTAGAGCTCAAGTGAGGTGAATTATAATAAAATCTGAGTTCATTTTAGGTCCTTTGAATAATGGCACCAACAAAAGAAGTATTTTAAAGAGTACTTTGCAAAATCCATAGATACAGCACTGCGGGCACCTTAACCAATGGCATTGCACTAACCTGCTCAACACGAGGATCTGAATTAATCACTGAATTTAATTTTCTGACTGCTAGTACATTTTCATCTGATACGTTCTCCAGGTAGACTTGTCCTTTCATGAGTGTATTCTCTACACAGATCACTGCATCCATGCTCAGCAAGTGGTTATCCATGACAAAGCTGTAGTACTGAACAGCATTCCTTTGATCAGCATCAATAAAGACTATATCAAAGTGCTCGTCCTCAGCATGTAATGCCTGGGAAAAAATTATATTGGAGAAAACACTCATTATTTACCTGAAAGTTTAACATGTTGCCATTAATTTGTTGTTTATATAAACCCCAAACCAGACAGAAACTTGTTCTTTTAAGGTAACGCTGCTAGAAATGCTTCTGGAGATCTTGGGAGCTTTCCATGCTTTGCAAACAATTCTTCAGTAATGAATCTCTGAACTTCTCAAGGAAAATCAGGATATAATAGAGGATGGCTCGTCCCAGCTTATGGTGTTGAGAGTCACAGCAGAAACACCTGCATACCTTGAGTCAAAGTAAATTGATCCATCAGGGTAAGACTGACACCAAACCCTGACACTGAGGTGCTGCAAGTTCTCTCCTCTCAAAAGAGCAACTATCAACAAATTGAAGAGTGGCAATTATATCAATCTGGGGAAAAAAGGAGGCATAAGGCAGATCTGGGAATTGCAAACTAGTGTGTCCCACTTCAGTAGCAGGAAAAAGGTTGAAATCCCAATTAATATAGAATTATAAAGCACATGAAAGAACAGGTCATGATAGAGATAAAGCAGCATAGCCCCTGTGAAGGAAAATGATGTTTCTTTAATCTAAAAAAATGCTTTGGATGGCTCAGCAACAGAGAGGATAAAAGAGAACTGGCTGCTATCATCTAATTGGATTTTCAGAAATGTGGCACACCTTCCCTCCAAGCAGGCTGCTGATGATAATGTATAAAAGTGTTGATGGATGACCAGATGGGAGCCTTTACAGCCTTCTCCTGTGGCAGTTAATGCACTCGCTGCCCAAGAGGCTGCTATGGAATATTTCAGATTCCATCTGGGACTATTTAACTGCATCTGTGTGCATTGCAATGAAACAACAGCTCATCCACCTATCTCAGGGAGCAGAAATGCTTTCAAGTCTTTGCATTTCAAGGGAAAAGAGAAACAGTTCTGTTTTCCAGAAGTCACTGTCTCTACCATGACTTTTAATGGTGCTTCTTGCATCCAGATTTCCCTTTTGTGTTTAGAGACCTTGTGCACAAGAAGTGATGAGCCATCCCTTGGGAAGCACCAGCAAAAGCATCAACAAAGGCAACAGAATGTGAAAAACTGGTTTGGTTTTGGGAGTAAGTAAGGCTAATGGCTCCAAAAGAGAGATTTCAGGAGCCTTTCTGAGGCAGGAGTGTGTGGATCAGACAAGAAAATCAAGGAAAGCAGATTGTTGAAGCTCTGAACTCCTCTGTTGTGCAAACTGGTGTCATTGTGAGCTTGTTAGTGGTGGGGAATTAAGCCTGGATAGTCACATTTCACTGTGGATGCTTGATAGCACAGAAACTCTGTTGAGAGCATTCACGAGACCACATTTAGGACACACTACACTACAATGAAAGAAGACCTTAAGGCCAAATATATGCTGGTTTATTATAAATGTAGGAGAAACTGGGACATCTGGATTCCTGGGATTCAGCTTTTCATTTCATGACCAACAAGAAATTCTTGCCCTGGTTCCCTCTTGAGCCACGTTGGTGGAAAGCAGCAGGGACATTTTTGCTACTGTGGAAGAGAATCTTACATCAGGCTGCACCTCAGTCAGTCTGTCCAACGTGGGTACTTCAGGAAGGGTCAGAAGATGAAAGCTGGGTGCAGGAGCCCATCACAAAGAGGGTTAGAGGTCACATTCCTCAGGGAGAAGAGCCAAAGCCAAATTCAAGTAATTATCATGACTTATCACCACTTTCTGACTTGTAACCTTCCTGGGTGGAGGAGGTGGGGGGCAGACATTCAGAAACAGATGTGGCCATGGCTGAACATATGTTACTCCTGCTCAGTGGGATGGCTCCCTAATGAAAAAGAATCTCACTTTTATGCATTGACTTCATTAGGTCCATATGGAGTTGTGCAGCTCTCTGGATATTAGCTGGACTTCTCATTTCAGCCCTCTTTCTGTACTGCCTACCTGCTGACAGCTTATCTCTTTCTTATCTGTCTTTTGATACAGATAAACCACCTTTCAACATCACAGCATCCATCCCAGGAGGGTGCTTGGGCTGGATGTGTAACCAGGGCACACCAGGCTTGTCCTTGGGTGTGCCAGGCCATGGTTTCTAAGGCATTTCTCTTCTGCCACTTCACTGAGTCCTGAATGACCAACTAGAAAGGTCACTTGGGCATCCAGATACCTGACACATGGAAGGAATAACCTGAGTTTGTCCTGGAACCTGCCTTCATTTGAGCTTCTTTTTTCCACAGGTTCATAATTGCTGCTGGGTTTCCCATATTTAGCTAGAAACAGCTCCAGGGCTATAAGAGGAATCCATGAAATTCCTTGAACCAGCCTTACCTTAAGAGCAGCCTCTAAACAGCAGGATGACTGCCACAGGGAGACGAAAATGCCTGTTTCCTGGAGCCCCTTGGCTAGCAATACACAGGTCACCCAGGCAGGTGGTCACCATGGCCAGGACACCACCCTGGAGAGGGTTTCCTCACTGCCAGCACCCACTGCTGGACAAAAACAGCCAGAAAATAAAAGATCTGCTTTAACTGCAGAGCCAAGCACTGGAAAGATGGGTACAGTGGTGGAAAGGACAACTCCATGCTGTCCAGTATGGATGAGGGGGTTTAAAATGAGGGATTGACACTCTGGCCCTCCCAGCACAGACTGGGCCAGGCCCTGCCTGGGACCTCACAGCACTCTGGAGATGCCATTGTCCTTTTCTTGGAGAGGCAGAGCCCAAATGCCTCCAACTGTGAGGAAAGCTGAGATCCAGAAGGAAATAATCTGCCTGCAAAATATCCTGCTGAAACTAATTTCCTGAGTGTTTACAGTGCAATCCCTGCTCCTTGCTACAGAGTCATCATAGATGGTAACAGATGGCAATAAGAGTTTTAATTCAGAACAAACTTGGCTAAAATTAATGCTTTTGCTTACAGCGAGTCATTAATTTCCTTTCAGATTAAAAAAAAAAAAAAGTGTAACACTGCATTCAATTGAGGAGATGTACCAAAAGTGACCATGAGAAAGGGCACAGCAGCACAAAAGATAAGGGAGAGGACATCCCAAATAAAAACATGAATGAATCTTCTGCCAAAGCTCAGAGCAAACTTGATTGGAGTCCTGATCAGAGACAACACTCTCATAAGGCACATACAAACTCAATCAGAAAAAAAATGACTGCCCAGTTCCTTTGATATGGATCATACAGTCAGCATATTTGTAATAAAGATGTACTCAAAACTTATTACCTTTCCTGTGCCTTGTTCTTGACCTAAATGTAATAGCAATCTATCCTTGGGGTGCACAGAATACATGAAAAAGTACAGTTTCCTTTTAAAACACCATTAGAATATTTTACTGTGTGTGGACATACACTCTTGTTACTCCTAAACGCTATTCTATTGAGAACAGTTTATATTCACCAGCAAAGCAAAATCTCTAGGGAAGCCAGAGAGGGAATGCAATTTCTAGTAATAACAGCTCACAACAGTGAATACTATCCACTTATCCCCACAATTTCCAGCTATTTTGGACTCCTTTCTGAATTAACCTTTCATATCAAAAGGAGCAATTCTAGAGCACACTAGAGACTCCGACACAATTTCATGCATAATTTATTCACTCAGTTCAACATTAAACGCAGAGTCCTTGACTTTGTCAAGGTGGATTCTGTTGGCAGACTTCACAAGCAGCAAAACAGGAGAAATGAGATCTGCAGCTCAACCTCTTCACCTATTCTGTCTGCTAACAGGAGGGAAAAAAGAAGAAAGCAAACCCCGACATGCTTCCACACTGCCCTGCAATCAGCAGGATTGGCTGCAAACACCGTGTTATTTTTGTGTTGCTTTTTCAATTTGAAAATGGAAGGATCAAAATAATGGATGGGAATAATTTTCTGATAGTTTGCGTTCCCTCCAGACTCAATCCTGCATCCATTGTTCATCAAAATCCACTGGGATTTGAAGGAAGCTCTTTGTGCAGGATCAGGCTCTTGCTGGTAGCAGATCCACGGCAAGGCACATAATCCAGGCATGGCTCAACAGAGTTCAGACTTCAGGGAAGATTTGTTGGGAAATGGTTTTAAACATTGGCCCAGGACACATTGAATAGGTAGCTAATTCCCACCAGAAACACCTGTACCTGAGACTGAACCTGAAGAAAGGCTTCCCCTCCATCCACATTTTAAAATACCATGTAGAATTCCTGAAGCCCTTGGGCACAGAGGGTTTGTGGTCTGTGTGAGCTCTGCTCTGCTGGGGACCTCACCCAGCTTGGCAGTGTCTGTCCCTCCTGTGTGGGGAAGGTGGAATTTTATCACCGTGCCCTCAGGTATCAAATGAACCTTACCATGTATTTGAGCTCTCTGGCTCCTGTCTGATACTCAGCATCCCTTGACAGGTCAAAATCCCAGATGTTTTGTGATCTGGGACAAGGGGGAGGCAAACAGGCCAACCCCACCAGTGCTGTGTGATAACACAAGGGAGCACAGAGGCTTCAGAGAGCCTGGCCAAGGTTCTGCCATGGACTGCTGTGCTGCCTTTGCTCTGCTCTCTGCTCGCTCCCAGCCCTGCTGGGCCATGGATTTGGGTGAAAAAGCCAAAGCCACAGGGGTGACATAATGGCCCCACTGTCTGAGGTGCACTGGCACAGATTTGTTGCATCCTTATGGCAACTGCTGCAAGATCTAGCAGCTTCTTGTAAAGGGTAGAAGCAATTGTGGGGACACATCCTGCAGCACCTGGACGATACCTGAGGCTGGGATGCAGCTCCTGGGTAGACTAGTTTTACACCAGAAGGGAGAGATCATACTCCTTCTGACAGTTTGGACACACTGAATCACACCTTCATGCAGCAGAGAAGGAATCCCCTGACAGGTAGTTAATCTATAGACCATATGGCATTTTCTTGCTTTGAATGGGCCAGGGCAGTGAGGCAAATCCTGCTTCCAGGAGTTGTATTACTGTGAAAATTTGAGGAGCAGCAGATAACCAGAAAAATTGCCTTGCTGTACTCAGCTTAGAAGCAAGATTCAGCCATCATCACCAAGCAAGAAAGCTGCATCAGACACCTCCAAAGAGCAGTTGGTGGGTGACCAGCTCTGCCCTCCAGTTTCTACACCTGGACAAGAACGACACCTAGGGCTGCAGACTCCATAGGCAGCAAGGACAATCCTCACCAGAATCCAGCTCTTCTAAACCTCACTGTGCTCCTCAGTAAATGTTAGCCAGGTCTGCCTCCCCACAGACAAGAAGGGACTGAAATGTTCTCCTCCTCCTCTGCGAAGCTGAGCTGTGAGAGCCCTGCTGTGCCATCCCTCCCCCAGCTCCTGCCTTTCAGCAAAGGAAGCCTGCTCATTCTCCAGCCTACACTGGTATCTGAGAGGGAAAAGGCAGCATGCTGTCCACAGGCTGAGCCTCTTCCACATCCCCAGACATCCCATGCAGCTGCCACACTCCAGCTGGGCAGCCCTCAAGAAGCCCAAAATGCAAATGCACCAGAGAGGCCACCAAATTCATTGCTTCAGCATTTACAGCCGTTGTGGTTTAAACCTGTAGGACAGTCCTGATTGTCCTGATACTGATGGCAAAACGCCTGCCACACTGAATAGCAAAAGTTCAGAGCCCAGTGCAGAAATCCTGCTCAGAAAGGTGTCCCCATGCTGGGAGCTCTCCTGCCAAACATGAGCATCTCTGTTCCCAACAGCTCCAAGAGGTATTTGAAGTTCTGAGCACCTGCAGAACTGGGGTCAGGATGGGCCTTCATGTTGCAATTGGAGGATATAAAATCAATTGCAACATTCTGTTTTAAGGATTTAATTTTCATGTCTTTGCTCCCTTCTTTAATCTCTACACAGCATGTACTCTGCCTGCCTCTAGATATTTTAATTCAGTCACAGTAAGTCAGTTGCACAGAATGGGCACTAGAGAGCAACAGCAATTCAATTAATTTCACACTCACTGCGGGGAGCTGGGATTTTAAATGCTGCACATTGCAGGTGATCTGTAACATTTCGGTTTTTTGGTATACTTGCAAAGCTCTTTGTTTCTTTCTTATCAAACTTGCAGGTCATGAAAACCAGAGGTCAGAAAGCTCCTGGCCATTTCATTTTAGAAATAAATATGGTGTCTGCTAATGCAAATAAAGTTACAATCAAGCTCACACTGACACATCCTGATTGAAAATGAAATCAGATCAAATTGATTTGTGTTAATAATAGGAGGGCTTTTTAATGAACCTGGTATGGGCACCACCTCTCTCATGCTGGACCCACAGCAGCCTCCTGGAGATCCATAAACTGGAATTAAATGTGAGCTGCCAGCAATCATAAGATTTCTCTGCCTTGGGACAAAGTCACCAGTCAGAATGAAACAAGTCCAGCTAAGGCATTATTTCTCTGAGGCTAATCACATTGCTCTGGAAGTGAGAAAGTGGGGTCTAATTCATCTAAGAGTTTGCTGTGGGGAAAAATAGTGAGAGGTTTTGGCAGAATTACAAACTTCTCTAGGAGTTTCCTAGCTCTTGTGAACACTGGGAGAAAGCTGTCCTTCTCAAAAGTTGGCTCAGCAGGGTACAGATCCATTCTTCCTGTTTGTTATGTTTGGAATTAGGGACCCGAGACAAAGCCAACCCTTGTTGAGTTAAACTGCCATTGAAGCCTACCGACCTACATTGAGAGCCTGTCATTCCTCTGATCAAAAAGCTGCAGGATTTTAGTTCAAAGAGAGAAAAACTGTCTTGTGTGACAGAGCTGCCCCAGCATACATTGGAAATAAGAAATAACCTCGGTGCAAGAGTGTGTCCAAGCAAACCAGAGCCACCACCCAGCATCGTGTGGGCAGGGAAGAAGACCTGCCTGAAATTGTTTAATGTGCTCTTCACAAGAGCTCCCAAACTCCCTTCCCAGCTGATTTTACCTCCAAGGTGTCTGCCACTGGTCCCACTCGCATGCTTATCTTTTTGCCATCTGAGGAATAATCAAATGCCTCCTGGCTGTTCACCCCGAGGTACGGCTCTTCTGCACAGGCAAAGATTTTGCCATTGTCTGGCAATTCCTCTGCAATAGCAAGGATACTGCAACCTTTAACCTTGCCAATTAATAAAATCTTCCTGGCTCTGATCATATGGACAAACATCCGAAAAATTTGGCCTGTGGAAAGACAAGAATGAAAATTTTAAAATAAAACCATGAGAAAGACTATCCTTTTTTCACAGTGAAAATTAGATGTGCCTTTTAAGTGATCATTTAAAAAAATCTAATCTTAAAACACTCTCAAATAAAGGTTTAACCACAGAATCTGACAAAATTTCACCTAAAAATGCAGCTAAAAGACAACAGAATAAAAGGACTGATTTTAAATGTAGAACCTTTATCATCAATGCTGCTATTGTTCAAGTGCTTGTTAAATAGTGCTTGAAATATTGCATATTTTAACATTCCCCCCATATGAAAATGGCTTTGAGATGGCTCCATATTCTTTCTGGAATCCAGCATTAAAAAAAAAAAAAAATCACTACATTACCTTGCATTTGCTCTTAGAGTCATTATCCCTAGACAGCACCATCATTTAAGAAATTTATCATCAGTGGTGTCCTTCGAACAATGTATTAGTGTAATAGATTATAAGAGTACTTCACTGGGATGATATATTGCTCCAAAGATGAGAACATCTGGGAAGAATGAATCTGGGAATAGATTTAGTGTAATAGGTTTCATAAGAGGATACAAGCCTGGGTATTTCTGCTTGTAAAGGTGCAGAGCTTGGCCACAGCCACCTTCACCACAAAAAGCATATAAACCCCTATCAGACATCCCAAGCCCAAACCAGAAGCTTTTTCCATCCCTTTCCCTTCCAGGAAGGTGATGATCTCTTTGCTGTTCTCTGAGGGATGGGGCTGGCACTGGGAATTAAAGCACTTTTATGTGGGCACTTGTGAGCAAATACACATGGAAGGCAGGGTACAGGAAAACTCATGACAGAGGAAGATCAAAGCCCATAGGAAGCTCATATATTTCTTTATAAGTAATTTCCCACATTTTCTGAGCATTCCTATGGCATTTATCCTCCCCTTACTCAAGACAAAGTAGAGGATAATAGCTTCAACTTCAGTGACAGCCTTTACACCAATCTGGTGCATTTTTACCCTCTTGGCCGAACAACTTGCCATTCAAAGAGCCAGAGGCACGTATTTCCTGCAGCCTGACTCTGCTTTCACCTCCTTCAGCATCCCCTGGGATGGGCTTAGGTGAAGTTTTTCTGGGAAAAAAAAAAAAAAAAAACATTTCGGTATTATGATAATAATCAAAATTTGAGCATCCAGAATAAAAAGCAGCAACCAGGAGGGAACTCCTGGAAAACCTCCATCTGTGCATGACCATGAAAAATTAGCCCAGAAGGATCACAAGTATCCTAAATTCCAGTCCTAAGAGAACCTAGTTTGGCAACAAGAACATCTCAGTGCTGGCAGTCACCCCAGTCATAGGAGCTTGGGAAGGAGGGAACCTGGGACCAAAGGAAAGAATTCCCCACTGTTCAACCCCAAACCTTTCCCATTTTCAGCTGGTCCCAGACAGATCTCTATCTGCTGCTTTGGAGTGAATTACTCCAGTTACCCTGGCCAGGTTTTGTTCAGTTCTACAGTTATTAGTTTTGTTCCAGCCAAAAATAAGGTTTCTTTGCATAACAGGGGAAAATATATTAAATCTAATTTTTTTTTTTTATAAGACAGGGAATAAAAATGTTTTTCTTCACAAAGTGCTCAGAAAGCAGGGTGCCTCCAGATGCTATTTCACAGAAGTCAGGCCTGTGACAATGACTCTGGATGAAGTGAGATGTTACCTATTACACAGGGAAGGCAATAGAGGACTGGAAGAAGCCCATAGCCTCCAGACAGGTTAGATTACCCTGTGTGAAGAAAGTAACCACCAGAAATGGATGGTGATCATTCTTTGGGCCAGAATTTAGAGCCATTTCAGTGGTTTTTTTCCTCCAGCTCCCCCCCCCTCTGCTCCTCAGTAAAATGAGAAAGAATTCATAACCCGTGTCAGCCACAGTCAGATAATCCAAGACTTAAAGAGTAGAACATTTCATATAACCTCTTTTCTGCCCCTCACAAATGCTTTAACAACTTTAATAAGATAATGTATAGCTATTATCCTACAGCAAGTGTAAGTCAAACAACTATCAGCTATTATTTCAGCAACAGAGAGAACGCTCAGCGTTCCCATAATCCACAGCCTGGAACAGTTTACACATTGTCAATTTTAGACAGAACTGGCTTTTTCCACATATCAAAATGTACACTGATAAATGGGAATTGTTTAGCAGACCCCACACGGCTGGGTAATATAGTGTAGCTCAAAAAAGAATAATGAGGGTATCAGTTGGACTTCTGAATTAATGATACCTTAAATTAGTTTAATTAATTAGTTTAGTTACCAGAGTAATTTAGTTAGCAGATTAATTAATGTTTGTTGAGTGCTTGGAGATAAAAACCACATATAAAGGCTGTTATTAGAGGGTGGATCCAGAGGTGCAGGTTTTCCTCACTCTTTATTTATTCCAGCACCAGCTGGATCCAGGGGCTCACTCTCTGAGCCTTCCAGCAAGCACAGTGTGGAGGTTGGTGTTCCCCAGGGTATGTTCCAACTCAGACACTGCCACAGCCAGCAATCAGCTGGGAGAATATCTCCTAAAATTTGCACTTAAAGCTTTTTGTTCTCACCTCCTTTCCTGCAGGCTGTGGGCTCACACACACATCCATGCACGCTTTGCTACACGTTTGGGTGCACTTAAGTCTCATTCCACTTCCTGCTGCTGTCCCCCACGTTTCTGGCATGTTCTGGACAGAAAATCTAACAAGATATTCATCCCACCACAGACAAAAGCACCAGGCTACAAAGGAGAATCTGTACCTCTTGGAAGCTGCCATTGCATCCAGGTAAGGGTCTAGTCCAAGAGCAACATCAAGAGCTTTTTGTAAGTAATTTCTGAGCTGTTCAGGTACATGAGGGTCGTTGAGGGCTATTTCTTTGGCTTTGAGAAGGTTCTCAGCAATGTGCCCAGCCGGAGTTTCTGAAATGGAAATTAAAAGAGAGAATAATGATTCCGTAACTGCTCAATCAGTGGAAGTGGAGTTTAAAGTACATAAGCACAGGTGTGCTTTTTTTTTTAATACAAAATATAGGGTTGTGAAGGGCTATGAAAACAATCACAAAAACCTTTTCAAACTGAAAACATTCTATACTTCTAATAGATTTTTAGCTGTATGCATTCTCCCTTTTTCCCCTCAGAGCTGATCCAGAATAAGAATGTTTTAAACACATGAATTTTGTTTTTAAGGCTCCAAGACAAACATCAAACACCAAAAAACTGCATATAAACCCTGCTCCTCCAGGTCCAATTTTCCTTGAAGGAAAGAGAATGCTTTCCAAAACTGCTTTTGCCAAACCAGGCAGGAGATGCAGGCAGTGGGTGAAGCTTTGTAAAAAGGAGGATTTTTGTGTCAGTGGGATGCACAAATGTCCCCAAGCTGTGTCTGTGCCAGGGGGGCTGCTGTGCACCACACATGTCAGCATTTCTGAAACGTGCACACCTCTCCAAGATCCAGATCCCTTGCTCTGGGAGCTAAAGCAATGCTGCCCATGGCACTGAACCTGCCCTGAGATCCCAGAAAACCTTTATGGCAGCAATCCACCATGGATCACAGCAAGCTGTGGCCACAGAGGCGAGGCAAGGCTCTGGGGAACTCCCCCACTCCCCAAGTGTGAGAGCACGTGCTGGGTTATGAAAGCACCTGTGAGACACAGGCCAAGAGGCTGGGGTGGAGCAGATTGCCCCTGGCAGGGTTTTATTGCCTGGGATAGAAAGGCTGCAGAGAACTACGTGGAGTGAGTGAAAAAAGGACATCTCTTTTACTTCTGTGGCTTTGCAGTACCTGAAGGGAGCCTATGAGAAGGATGAAGAGAGAACATTATGAGGCATGTGGTATCAGGACAAGGGGAATGGCTTCAGACAGAAAGAGATAGGTTTAGATTAGATATTAGGGAGAAATTCTACTCTGAGAGGGTGATGAGACCCTGGCACAGGGTGCCCAGAGCAGCTGTGGCTGCCCCTGGATCCCTGGAAGTATCCAAGGCCAGGCAGGATAGGGCTTGGAGCAGCCTGGCACAGTGGAAGGTGTCCCTGCCATGGCAGGGGGATGGATTGTGATGGGCTTGAAGATCTTGTCAAACCAGCCCATTCAGTGACTCTGTGATACAAGGCCACGATTTACATCTCATCCCAGTCTCTAACCATCAGGGGAAGATTTTATCTCTTCCAGCAGTTTTATGAATAATTGCAGCTGCAGGAATTTTCCCAGACCCCTTTCCCAAACCATGCTGGTTGCTGACCCCAGCCCAGCTGCACTTCCAGTGAAAAGGACACATACTCTTCTTGCAGCATTTTCACCACTGTAAGAGGGAGCATCCCTGGGCTCCCACTGCTCAGCTGGAGAGTGCTGGAGGTTGGGATCTTCTCATCCTCCCTGCCAAGCACTCTGAGGCTTTTTGCTAATTTAGGGGTAAAAACATGTTTATAATCCATGTCGGCTTTTAGTAATCATCATGTTCTGCTTCTGGGTAAGTAACAGACAGGGATTGCCTGTCACACAAAGGGGAGGAAACAAGACTTAAACTCAGCTGTTTTGTAAGCTGTGTTATAACACCAAACGTGAGAGCCAAGAGGTGCTGCAGGGAGGGGGCACAGGCAGGGCATGCCAGGGGCAACCCTCCATCCAAGCTTACACAACCTTTGCAGGGAGTGCTGCATTTTTTGCAGCTTGGTGATGCTTTGGGCCAACAGCAGAGGTCAGAATTGCCCTCATTTATGCAAGCACCAGACAAGTCAGGGCAGAGCTCAGGGCTGGCTGCCCGGCCCAAGGCCCTGAGCACTAAGGTGAGCTACACTTTATGTAACTACATTTTTTTAAGGTTATTCCAGGAAAAAGTGCTTTATTTCTTTGCAGAGCTCTACACAATCCCAGAAAAACTGCTGGAGTGTATTAAGCACTAAATCAGACTTCCTGACTGTGTTCCTACGGATCTATGTATGCACAGACATCTCTTTCCATTTCCCATCTAGTTCTACATTATCAGCAAGAGGAGAAAAGAAAAACAGCTCACTCAGAGGAAGAAAATGCTGAAAATAGCCCTTCCATGAAAGAGCAGGAAAGGGCTGCTTTAAGTCTCCAGCAGCTTCATAAAGATAAGGTGGCAGTTCTTAAAATGGACCATTCTTGATAGCAGAATGGTTCCCAGCACCTTCCTGGGCAGGTGCTGAGAGCACAGCCACCCTGTTTTACATCTAAGCTGAACAATAAACTGCAGCTTTTCCTCTGTCTGAAATCAGAAACTTTTAATTCACACCAAAGTCAGTACTGTATGTGTGGGACATCAGTGTTCCCTGAGCAGACAAGCAGTGCAGTGCCATGGAGGGACCTGCTGCTCCAGAACCAAATTAAACTCTGCAGTTTGTGCTCAGATGGCACTTTTTAGGTGGGGAAAAGAGGAGAACACTTCATTGTTTGCAGGGGACCACCCTGAAGGAGGCACAGAGACAAGAAGACAATCTGGATTTGGCAAAAACAAAGCAAAAACACAAGAACAAAAAGACCAAATTTTTACTTCCCATTTTAGGCTATCCTCATTTCACCTTCCAGGCTCTAGATCTGTTTTGCAGCTGCAGAAATGCCTTCCAAAGAGCCCCCCTTCCCAGCCAGGGCAGAGCACTGAACCTGATCCACCTGAACTCTTTGCTGCCAGACTCTTTGGTGCTCCAGTGCCAAGCACTTTGGCAGGAGCTGCTCCGTGCTAAGCACTTGGAAATCCACTCTGCTAAAACCATCCCCCAACAACTCCAGCCATCATATTCACCAAGGCACCTCAGGCACTGACAACAGCTTATCCCAACCCTCAGCTCTTTGCCTTGGTGTGTAAACATGTGTCCCAGCACAGGGCTTGTCATGGGAGACAGGCAGCAGCTTAGGGATGGAGTGGGTGCTTGAGGAAGCAGCCAGAGAGGGGATGCTGCTGCTCATGGCATGAACCAGGGATCTAAACTCTGACTGAACTTCAGGGGAATGCAAGGAAAATGTACACTACCTGATGCATTTTCTACAGGTTCTACTGCTAGAAAATAAGTTGAAAAGCTGAATCTCCCCAGTGCCCCATTAGGGAGAGAAATTATTTCTAAAACAAGCATGGCAATCCATCAGAAATTAGTCACAGGCAAAACTCTCTTGACATTGCAAGCCTCCACCATCCCACCATTCCTTTCTCCTGGGACTGTCCCACTCCCTCCAGTCCAGGTTCATGCAAACCCAACTCCTGTGCTGAGCCTCTCCCCTCTCCCTGACAAAGCCACCCTCTGCTCCTTGCTGCCAAGCCACAGAGCCTGCAGGTACCCTCTCCATGGGGAAGGTGGGGACCCTGGACTAGGGGATCACTCGGTGTCCTTGCTGTCACACCGCTCTCCCAGAGCTCCCCACCCCACACAGGGAGTTTACCTGAAGGGTTATTCATGTTCCTTCTTGTCCCCTGGCCTCAGAGGATGCTGTGGTGGGTTTGCTGCCTCTGCAGAGCAGGAGGTTGGTGCTTGGGTGCCCGCTGAGGGGACAAAGTCTCCTCCCTCAATCACCAGGGCAGAGCTCCAGCCCTTGGGAGAGGCTGCACGGGGAGGATGGCTCCAGGCTGGGCTGCACCCTCCTGACCCACCCAGAGCACAGGCAGCAGGTGAGATCCAACAGCATCTGACATGAGAAAGGCACAACAAAAGAGCCGACTTTCAGTGCCTCTGCTTTACATAAGAGTTAGTTCACATCCTGACCTCGGGAAGCTGCTGGCTCTCACAAAGTAATTGGCAGTTTCATAACCTTCCAGTTACATATCACAGACATGCCCCGGCTAAACCACCAGGTATGGGGCCAAAAATGTCCCAGGACTCTGAATCCCAGATTGTCTACAAGTGGTCCTTAGCCACAAGGTCACCACAGTACAGCCACACACTGGAGTAGCCCCTGCTCCAGGAGCCAGGTTTCTGCACAGGCTGGGGCTGGTACCAGTTGATCTGTGCCCCAAGAGAGGGTCCCAGGAAGGGACTGGCTGAGGGAGGCATCAGGAGCAAGCAGTGCGGACATCCCAGCTATCCAAAAGGCTGAGGTGGCCTGCAGCAGAGCTGGGCAGAAAGGGCTGGTGAGGAATTAAAGCAAAGTCCTTAAAGAGAGTGATGGAGCCGAGGTGGGCTGGCAATCCCCTCTTCATTCAGATGAAACACAACTGAAGGTAATGAGGAAATATGGACTGCCCCATAACCAAAACAGCACCTCTGGGGTGTATCACCCTGGGCTCATTCACTCAAGGACAGACTCAATGTACCTGCAAAGTGTGCAGAGAGAGCCCAGAGCTGGGCAGGGGAGGTGAACAGGCTGGGGGAGCTCACATTCCCCCTCACACTCTTGGCAGCCCCTCTGCAGGATGGAAGGTACAGAGACATGGCAGTCATTGGTGCTGGCAAGCAGCTGGACTGTGGAAAGTTAATTTGTCAAATTCTCAAATGTAACAGAAGATATTTCAGTGTCCTCAGAATAGAATAGGGAAGTACAAATAGAAAATATGTAAATACACACTATGAAAGAGTAAAAGAAAAGCAAACAAAAGAAGTCTCGAAGCTGACTGTATTGTTATTAATTAAAACAAATAAACAAGATTAAAAAACAAGACCGCCTGGCATACCTAAGAGTGTTCTATTTTATGATTTAGTAAACAACAAACTGCATTAGAATTGCAGTTCCTGCAGAAAGCAATAAAAATTGTGTTTAGATTGGGAGTGAAAATTTCAGAGGAGTATTTGGTAAACAGGCTACGAGCTTTAGTGTGACATCTAATTCACACACACTAGCTTTAAGGTGACTTTGGGAAAGTTGTTTCCCTTCTGAGACTCTATTTTCTTCTTCTACAAAATGGGGTTAACAGCCTGTCCTCTTTAAAAAGCACTTTGCCATCTGCAGATGAAGCCAGCAGTGAGGACTGGAGTCAGGAGTTAGGCACTTCTTGGAGCAGGGCTACATGGCTTTGGAGACTTTTCTTGCAGCTATCTCAATATTAATTTTGAGATAGATGAAGGTCCCAAAGTGAGTTTGGTTGCAATTAAGCCTTCAAAGCAATGACACAGTGTTGTCCAATGGGTTCTTTAAGACCCATTTTTTTCCCGTCTCTGCATTTATATCTGATTTTGGTTTTCTTGATCTTTGTTTCTGAACAAGGACAGCTTTCAGAAGCACGGTTGAGAAGGTGGCAGAGACAGGTTTGTGCCTTCAGGCACTACTGGTGAAATCAAAGGAAGATCTTCCTGTGCTCAGCACACAGAGCTGAATGCCAAGGGAATACTTTGTGTGGCAACCTGAGCCTGGGGCCCTCCAAAAACCCCAGCTGGAAGATCACATGGAAAAGTGAATTGTGCATCCCCTAGTCACGTGGGGATCAAAACCCAGCTCATGTCCAAACAGCCCTTCAGGAGAAAACGCTCTCTGATAATTTTTTTAAACCCACCATAAAAGCTAAAATATCTATTATATATAGTTTTGTTCCTCAATTCAAGAAAAGCCCAGGAATGTGAACTCAAAAGAGGTTTAACCAGCTGATATTGATCCCCATGCTTCTGCTCCTGTCTCATCCCATAAGAGCAGCGTAGAGCTGCAGCCAGATCAGAGGCTCTGCTCAGCAAAGGAGATTCCTGAATGATGTGAAGAATCACACAAACTGCCTTTCATAACTTTAAATTTGCTGTAGGGCATCATGTTGGAAGTAAATGTATGCACTTCTATTGTACATCTTAAGCATTATAAAACCAGCTGATTACACAACCCCATCCTGGTAGTCGCACGTGTCTTCAAACATTCCTGCCACCCCTAACATGCATCCCAGATTAGGTAATCTCGGTTTTGTAATTAGTCTCTCACATGGAGACGAGACCTCCCCTCCTGATGCCTGGTCACCCTGCAGCCTTTAAAAAGCACCTCAAAGGCACCCAGTGATGGGAGATCTCTGGGTAGGGAGATTTCACCTTCTGGAAGCATGCTGGTGACAGAAGAGGCGTGTGCTGCAGCGGTCCCAGGAGCCACCATGCCCCAGGAGCGCCGGCAGACGGATTTCCAGCTGGTGAGAGTCAAGAGCACGTGGAGCCGCATCAAGAAGGGAGAAGCCCTTTCCAACGACGAGGACGAGGTCACTCTCTCTGAGGCAACAATGTGAGTATAGGAAGGAACCTGTGTTGCTCTGGCTGGCCAAACTGGGCTGTCTTCTTGGTGGGATGGAAAACCATCTTGGGTGCCATGGCGGCTTCAACCCCCAATGACAGAATTACAGAATAGTTCAGGCTGGAAGGGATCTTTGAAGGTCATCTAATCCAAACCCCAGAGATGGGCAGGGACACCTTCCTCTAGACCAGGGTGCTCCAAGCCCTGTCCAACCTGACCTGTGTGTACAAACCTGGGAACATGTCTTGGGAACATGGGCAGTATGGCAGCACAGGCAGCTGCAGTGCTCCTTGACACAGCTCAGAGTTACAGAGGGAATTTTATCAACAGCCTCCATTTTTGTAGAGAGGAATTTTCTTTAAACTTCTGAAAAGCTTACGCAGGGACATCTGTGTGCTGCACTTGGGCTCATTTTCTCCAGTTCTGTGAAAATTCAATCTCTGTGCGTGCAAAATCTCACGCCGAGGCATGGAAGACAGATGGGTTTATAGAGGTGATTGCAGACAAATGAAATGGGTAGGTGGGAAAAATAAACTGTCACTGACAGGAGCAAAACCCTTAACACATTCCTCAAACTGCAGAAGTCACCTAATGCTGCTTCAGATAGAGCAAAGACAAAACTTTCCCCCAGGGAAACACACATCTCTTTGCTGATAGTACATCTCTCCAGCTAATTATCTTTTAATTACAGCATGCTCCTTTTCACAAGCACATGGAGCTCCATTCATGAGGCAGATCTTTTTTAATACGGCTCTCTTCTGCATGTCAGAAGTTTTCCAGCCTTTGTCATGCTCAGATTTTAATGGCACAAGTCTAACCCTTTTCTCAGCCAGGTCAGAGGGACTCTCACCAGCGCTGGCAGTGACCACATACGAGCATCACCCAGGCAGAGCTGCAGCAGATAGAGCAGGACTTTGGCAGACCCAGAAACAGCCTGCTGGACCTCAGTCAATAGAAGGATGAACCTAGGGCCCAAGAATATGCAGAAAAATTCTCAGCTGACATATGCTCCCATAAGGGCATGTTCAGCCCCAAATTCCCTATGATTTTCATAGAGCGGAGGGGTTGCAATGAGTACTGGTTGTACCATCCAGCACCCAAAGCTGATTCTACCAAAAAATATACCAAACCATCCTGTCTCTTAGAAGGGTCACACACCAGAGATGAATGCACATGGAGTTAAGTACAGCTATGAGATGGTGCATTGAAATCCACACAACAATGCTTTTTCTGATACCATATTTGAAAAGCCCAGAAGAAATTTTCTGGAAGGTGTAAATCCTCACTGGTTTTCTTTAACAGCTATGGAGTTTAAGGGCTTAGAGTATTTAAGAGTTCAAGACTTAGAGACAATTTGGTAAACAAAGCAGAGAAGCCTCTATTTTGACCTCTAAGTGAATGTTCAGGCATGTGAAAAGAAATTGGGCATGTAGAGAAATCTGATTATCCAATGAATATCACAGAAACTCATTTTACCAAAATGCAGCTCAAAAAACAGTCTTACATAAAATGCATTTTCCTATTTCCTTCTGCCTGTTTTCTTTTTTTGATTCCCAACTTGTTTTTTCCCTACTTTGCCCATCCCACAGAAGGAAGGGGTTGTAGGGCTGTGTTTTTCATTAATTTAGATAGATAACTAATTTTGGCTTTTATTTACCCTTGAAAACTCCAGTGTGGAAATGTTTCCCAACCCCCAAATCATTTTCTTTCTCTATCCAGGAGCATTTCCTATTTCTATCACACCTATTTTGAGGTAGAGGTCTGCTAGCCCAACTAAGGCATTGTAGAAGCACTGGTCTGAATGGAGATGTATGTCTGTGTATAGATAGACAGGAATAAATTAACTCCCACTACCCAGATACACAATCAGAGGATGCTCCTTCCATAAATGTGGAAATTTTTGGCAACCTCTTCTCCTCCCCACTCCCTTTCTGAAAGCTGAGATGATTGGACTGGCTCATTCTTTATGGGGTTTCAACTTCTAGCATGAAAAACATGTCCCAGCCCTTCGAGACTGTATCTTTTTAATGCTGTGTAGGAATTCAGACATATAACTCTTCATCAAGACTTTGGAGAGCTTCTCCATGAATACAATTGCTGAGCCCTGACACCCAGGGAGTGTCCCACCCTCACATCCCCATGTTTCTGCAGTACACAGGGCAGGAGACTCCACATTCTTCACCTCCCAGCTACATCCTTAAACTAGTTCAGACATGCAAAGGTCAGACTAGGAATACAGTGATTTCAAACCATGTTTTCTGTTCCTTGCCAGAGGTGAGTGCATCTCCGAAGGCGGCATTTCCTGGATCGTTGAAGCTCCCATCTATTTTTGCTACAAAGTGGTAGAAACATACAACATTCTGGAACCCTCTAACACCACTTTGCTCTGGGGCCACATCACTGACCCCCAGCAAACAGAGGTGGCCACGGCCAGCAAGAGGAGACTGCGGCGCTTCATCGTCATAGACGAAGTCGTCGACAAACTTTACGGCTCCAAAGTCAGAGAATACTTCGAGCAGAACAACGTCCAGCACAAAATCCTCGCCCTGCCAACCACTGAGGAAACAAAATCCATGGACTTGGTGTTGAACATCTTGCACGAGGTCCAGAGCTTCAGCCTGGACCGGCGGACGGAGCCCATCATCGCCATCGGCGGGGGCGTGTGCCTGGACATCGTCGGCCTCGCCGCGTCGCTCTACAGGAGACGCACCCCCTACATTCGGGTCCCCACCACCCTCCTCTCCTACGTGGATGCCAGCGTGGGGGCCAAGAACGGGGTGAACTTTCTGCAGTGTAAGAACAAGCTCGGGGGCTACACGCCCCCCGTGGCAAGTTTCCTGGACAGATCCTTCCTCCGGAGCATCCCTCGGCGACACATCTCCAATGGCCTTGGGGAAATTTTAAAGGTATGAACTTCTGCAGCTGCAGTTTTCAAAACTGAAAAGTCATGCAATGGTTTGGGTTGGAAGGGACCTTTTGAGGTCACCAAATCTGACCCCCTGTGATGAGCAGGGATAACTTTCACTCACTCATGTTGCTCAAAGCCCCATCCAACGTGTTCTTGAGTGTTTCCAGGAATGGGGCATCTACCAGTCCCTGGAAAACTCATTCCGGGGTTTCATTACCCCCTTTGTAAAAAATTTCTTCCTCACAAATAGACTGAATCTATGTTCTTTCAGTTTAAACCATTATCCCTGTTCTAGCACAACAGGCCCTACTAAAAAGTTTGTCCTCATCTTTCTTTCCCCTTTTAAGTATTGGAAAGTAAAATGTCCAGCAGCATGCATGGCATTGTATAAAAAACTTAGAGGAATCAAGGTGGGCCATTGAGGGTGCATGAGGACTTTTAACTGTCATTGAGTCTATATATAGTTTTTTTACAGCTGCTAAATTTGTTAGAACATCCCTTACACTCAGTGTCCAGTGCTAACCCTGCAGAGGAAATGCCAAAACTCACAGCCAGAAACAGCAAAAAACTCACAGGAGACACAGCAAAGCTATGGAAGAAAAGCCTGATCTTTCCATTGAGGCTGATCCATAGCACTCTGTAATGAACTCCTGGCAGAGAATCTGAGGCTCATTATGCTGGGGATTAATAATCTGCAAGATCATTTGCACCTACCTCAGTGGGTATGTCAAGTGTGGTCAATCAATCTCCTGCGAGGCAAATTCTACTTCTAAAATTACCTGGAAAGTGCATAGCAAATGGCTTTATGTCTGGAGAGCTTTGGAAACTTTTGATAAAGCAGAGTTCAAGCTATTAAAGTGTATTAGAGATGAGTTCATCAACAGCAATTTTCAGGGCTTGCACAGTGAGAAATCCCCAGGATATCTGGAGGTCTCTGGCAGGCACTGTAAAACCCTCAGGTCACCATTCCCCACTGCAGGGTGGGGCTAATGCCTGAGTCAGAGAGGGAAAAAATATGTACTTCTAACAAGACATCACTTCTAAGCCCTCATATTCTCTATACTGCAGTGTTTTCCCTCCTTCCATTACCCAAAGAGTAGCTCCAAGGTGGTGGTCTCCACCACCCAGTCCCTGTCCTGGGAAGGGCCACCATCCAGTCCCAAGTTTCCTTCCAGGCACACAAATAACCAAAGCTGATTACAAACCACCTGCTGGGCTATGGGAGCACGTAGCAAACCCCCAGCATGGGCAGAGCTGCCCAGCAGCAGGGGAACTAGTGTATAACATGTTGTTGCTGTCCAATCTACTAAAACACTCAAGTTTCCTACAGCACATACAAGGATCAGACAAGTACCCTTAATTATCTCTTCTTTGTCCCAGATGGCCCTCATGAAACACAAAGGATTGTTTGACCTGCTCAAGAACCATGGAAAATACCTGCTGGACACTAAGTTCCAGTCTTGCAACAGCTTTGCTCACCATGGGGATGCTGCACTGCAGACTACCAGGATTGCCATTGAAACAATGCTGGAAGAGCTGGCTCCCAACCTCTGGGAGGATGACCTGGACAGACTGGTTGATTTTGGCCACCTTATTAGCCCAGAACTGGAAATGGTGAGTGACAGACTTTATATTGCAATATCCCCTTCAAAGACAATATTAAAAAAAATTCAATAGGCTTCATTAAAACCTTGTGAAAAGGAGTTGAAACTCCAGATTTGCACATACTAGGTCACCCAACACACCAACGTGGTATCAAAGGGACTCCTTCTCCTGCCCCATTTCCCCTACACCTCCACCCATTTCTAATTCAGACCTCGTTCCAGTTGTTGCTTCTTACTGGGCACTTACTGAAGCTCAAAGAAAACCAGATTGCAGTGAAGCCACTGGAAATCACCTACACAAACTGTAACAGCACCAAGACATGGAGGCCATAGCTCATATTGCTGGGGAGAAATTGCCATTGAGGAATGAGGGGGGACACCTATGTCTTATCCAATACCCAGAGCTCAACCCTCCATCTCATGGCACTCCATCAGTGATTTAGATGAGAGAATTAGATCCTAGATCCCTACGGGAGATTTTAGCTGCTATTAATCATGTGTAAAACTAGGATCATCCTAGCAACCCGTAAATCACAAGACGCCAACATCCAGCAACCACAGTGAGTCAAATGTCGATTTGCAGGGACACTTTTAGCAATAAACCCCACTTGTTTCCTACTTGCCACCCCAAACCTGCTCTGCCACCCACCTTTGCTGTGCTGCAGAGGGTTCTGCCGTCGCTGATGCACGGGGAAGCTGTGAACGTCGACATGGCATTCATGACGTACGTGGCCCACGCGCGCGGGCTGCTGGACGCCGAGGAGAAGGAGCAGATCCTGCGGTGCATGCGGGGCCTGGAGCTGCCGGTCTGGCACGGCGGCTGCAGCTGGGCCCTCATCCAGAGAGCCCTGCGGGAGCGCCTCAAGCACAGCGGGGGACAGCTGCGGATGCCCCTGCCCACCGGCCTCGGCGTGGCAGGTACGGCCGGAGGGAGCCCGGGGAGTGACAGCCTGGGAAATGCACTCTGCAGGTTGCAGCTGTGCATTTCTTGCGTTTCTTGCGCTCTTTTTCGCGTCTCGGTAAACCCATCGAGAGACAGGATCCCTCCTGTGTACCAGCCCCAGAACTCCATTAAGGACTGAGGTCTAATTAATTGCATTATGTTAACCAATTCGTTTTGCAAAGGGAAATGCAGTGTTCTGGCAGCAAAGGGGAAAAGAGAAGAATAATTCCTCTGCTATACTTGAAAATATTTGTGAAGTATCCTTGGCAAAAGGAATTTAATTTTTTACTGTGCCTAGAAATAATATTTGCAAATTAAATAATATCTGTTCAATATCAGGGATGAAATACTCACAAGATTTAAAAATAAAAACTAACCAACCCCTAACACAGAAGCAGTGCATGGTACCAGGTTGTGATCTCTGCCATCTCTTTCATTTTCACACCATTTCCATGAAGCTCAGTCTCCACACATGACAAAAGGCTCTCACAAACTGGAGTGACTCTGCCAAAGTCAGTGTTTGCAGGCAGGAAAAGCTCTTCTGGATTTCCTATTAACCATAACTCTTATTTTCCAGACATATTCAACGACACCAGTGAAGAGACCCTGGAAAGAGCATACAAGCTGTGGGTCAAGGACTGCAAGATGGGGCTGGAGGAAGAGCTGCAAGCCCAAGGTGATGGTCCTGCCTCAACCATGAGCTGTGTGCCACTGTAAGGTAGTGGGCAGAACTGAATTTTGAGCAAGATAAATGCAGAAGCACCTATGACATTGCATTCACTCCAGAGCTGCATGGAACAAGCAGAATATTGGCATGTGACATGATTTTTCTCTTTCAATTGCTTTGTTTGAATGGGAATCTACTATGGCTGAAGGAGTGACCACTCACAAATGAAACCACAGAGTGCCAGTAGTGTAGTTCATAGTAAATGGTCTTCTTTCAGGAAAAGTGACCAGGATTATTCATTTATTTAGTTAATCCAAGCTGGTAACTGCCATGCCCCTTGCCACTGGTGTCCCACCATTGCTTCTGCTTGGACCCCTGACACAAGCTGGTGTAGCTGGTCATAGACCGTGGTATGGCACCATGCAAAATTTCTATGCTACATAAAATATTTCAAGTAGGTTATCACCTTCACTGGTCATTCTTTTCTTCTTGGTGTTCTTCTTTTCTCTCATTCAAAAAAGCAAAACAAAGAAGCTCATCTGCCAGCCTCTGCACCCAGTATAAGGGAGTGGCACACTCTGATTAGAGGCACCATCACAAGTCACAGATCAGTAAATATCCCTGCTGTGGAGCACCTGGGGGCTGTCTCCTGGTAGTAAGGCAGCCCTTTGTCTTGGGACTCTCAGATACTGAGGACTTGCTGGCAAGTCCCCCCTTGCTGCCCAAATGTTTGTGGTGGTTTCACTTTGGAACACCTGCAAGCCACTGGGGTGGCAAACAGGGCAGTCTGCAGCACTGCTGCCTAAAAACAAAGTTGGGCTCCTGGCAATATTTCAGAACCCTCTGGTGCCCCCACATCTGCCACAGGGCTCCTCGTACCTGTCAGACCCTGGCTCCTTTCCCATCTCAGCCTCTTCTGGTTAGAAAAGGCCAGCTGGGGAAACCAAGAGAAGTTAGAGGACTCCAAGCAAGTTCATCATCTTCAAGCAGCTTCAGTGTCGTGTCTCAGGATCCTGGCAGACTCAGAGCAGATTATAAAATGGATGCTTGTGGTGAAAAATGTAAAAGTAATGCCATCCTTCTCCCTGGAGGTCCAATCAAAGGAATTGCAATCAACAAACAGTCTTTGAATTATTTACAACATTATTTGATTTTTCCCCTTGTGTTTTTGTCCCACACCAGTTTGTGCTGATGTGCTGGCTTCTGTTTTGCTGAAGTAATAAAAGCTACTAAAATGAAAAACTTTTGAAGTAATGATTGCATTGCTGCCCACAGTGCATGCCTGAGTACCTTTGCATGTGCTTGAGAGACACAGACTGGCGAAGTGTGGCATAGAGCTGACATAATAAATCCCTTTTCCTCTTGAGCCTGGAGAAGAGGTGCTTAAAACTACACAGAAAACCCTGCTCAGCCTTCTCCAGAGCAGTGCATCTCTCCAATTTCAGGACAGGGTTTCACACAGATGGTACCATCTTACCAAGGAGCTTTAGAGCACACCCTCAAAGCCACAACTTCTTAAAAATAAACCCATGATTCCCAGAGTTAAATAAGCTGGGGCTGAGGATATCAGTAAACTTGTCTCCTTTTTCAAAACAGGCTCATACAGTGGGTTTCTGACAGCAGCCAGTGTGTAGGGAGAGCATCACTGCTTCTCTCAGGCACCCACCAGCTCTGCTAGAACAGGCAGGAGAGCAGGTGAGGGCCCATGAGTGTCTGAAGGAAGGAGATGGGGATGGACCAGGCTCTGCTCAGCGGTGCCCAGAAACAGGGCAAGAGGACACAGGCAGAAAATGATGCAGAGAAAGTCCCACCTGAACCTGAGGAAGAATTTTGTCGTGCAGTGACTGTGAACTGGAACAGACTGTCCAGAGAGGGTGTGGAGTCTCCCTCACTGGGGGTATTCCAGAACTGTCTGGGCACAATCCTGTGCTCTGGGATGACCTTGATCAAGCAGGGAGGTTGGGCCAGATGACCCACTGTGGTCTCTTCCAACCTGAAATATTCTGTGACCCCAACTTTTGGGGAGCATGAGAGAGCCTCAGGGACAGCGGTCTGAGGGGCAAAGGTGCTCAGAGCCATTTAATGTTGTGCTTACAGTGATCACCTGGGCACTCTCACAAATGGTCCTCCTCCTCTCCAGCAGCTCTGTGGGCCATTTTCCACACCAGACAACCTAGAAATGAATGATCAGGATTATCACCCACCCAAGTCAGTGTCCTGCAGCACAGTGTCCAGCTCCATCTACCTCAGTGGAGGCACAATACAAACATCATCTGGAGTTGCTTATTTTAAATGTCCTTGGAGAGACTCTCAGGAGACCAAAGGCATTTGGAACTCCATTTCCAGGGAAAGCCGAGGTGCATCTCAGCAGGGTCGAGGTGAACTGAACTAAAAAGGGTCATAGAAGCACATTAAAAGCCCAGCATCCAGGACCAATGTGCTATTGGTGACAGTGACCTGTGGGTCACCTGCCAGCCTTTCCCCCATGTTGGCTTTGCCTCTGCCTTCAGAAGCCAGTGGTTGTGTCTGCAACAACACATCCAAGGAGCTGAAGCACAATTAGGACTGAAAAGTGAACACATGATTATTATTATTTTTTACCCTCACTTCTGCTGTGGGTGACAGAACACAATCAGCCCCTGACGTGCTCGGTTGCTTGGTAGCAGACAGGCACATTTTTAATTATATATTAAAATATGCTAAAGAACATAAAACGGCTGCGTGACTAATATGTGTGTATCAAGAAAGGCACATGACAGCAGCAAAATTGCTTCAGTGTCTGATAAAAAGTGCCTTTGCCAGGCTTGTCATCAAAAGATCAAGAGAAATGGGTGGAAAGTATTATTAATAAAACTGTGACTTTTTAAAATACCCCTCATTGTTTGAGGTGCATTTTTTTAATGTCTAGCATGAATTTAATTATTTTCCATTTATTCAGCATTGATTTAGTTCCCTCTTTTTCAAACAGAGCTATTATATTAGACCTAAGATCTCTGCTTATTCTCTTATGATGCATTACTCCAAAGAGAAAAGCAGAAAGTCCCAGCTGGGTCCTTGCAGTGCAAGTTCTTCATGGATTTGTTTGAACAAAATTACTTTAGTGGTCAGAGAATCAAAAATTATTTTATTATTTACAAGTGCTGAAGTAATTTCTTTTGCAACAACCTGCTCTATAAACTGCTTTTCAGCAGGGAAAAAAGAAGAGGAATATTAATGAAGTCCCAACCCAAACCAGTCTATGATTCTGTGGTTCTGGAATGCATAGAGGAGTATCTAAGCAGCAATCACTCATGTCCAGAGACGAGTAGCATTCATTGTACTCAGTGTAAAATGAGGATCAGACCAAAGGTCTTGAAGATATTGAAAGATTTTGGCGAAATGTATTTGAAGGAGCTGAAGGAACAGCGCTGAATGCAAGAGCAGCGCCCCGTTCCTCACCCACCACCTGCTGCCCACTGCCTGCCCGGAGCCGATACCCTGGCGTGAATTACACGCTGCACTCGCAGAAAACAATCTGCAAACGGCATCCGTAAATCACTGCCTTGGAGCAGGGGCTTTGTCGGGATGGGACGGAGCGCAGGAATCCGCGCCCGGTGCTGGGAAGGACACAGCCCCACAAGAGTGTGCTGTTCTCCTCTCTTTTAATCCAAGTCTAACTCCTGCGGCAGCCACAGGCACACGGGAGGAAAGCCAGAGGGAGCAGGGAGCTCTGGAGAGGCGCTGCTGAACAGCAAGAGAGCAGGCAAAGCGTTTGAGCAGGACCAGAGTCCACAGAGCCGTGTGCTCCATCCACCAAACCCTGCTTTGAGGCAGCATCCTCCACGTAGACATCAACCCCCTCGTGGGTATCTATATATATATATTAAATAACAATTGATATTTACATACTTTGCACATAAATATTTCATGTAAATATTTTTCTACCCTGGCCCTTCCTGCTGACCATAGCAGCCTTCTCCTTTCCCTGCACAGCTCTTGGACAGCACTCACACAAAGGGGTCTGTCACAGGAACCATCACTTCCCTCTGTGATGCCAGAGCACAGGTCCTGTTAAGAGCATCAGTCCCAGAAACTGAGCTGGAAAAGGAGCAGTTTCAAGGAAGGGTGAGGCTCAGGTCACAGGCAAAGACAACGGTGTTGCTCAGTGCACACACATTTGCCTTGTGAACCAGCATCCTGTCAAGCCTCATTGATTTTAATAACTCAGGAACACTTTTCCAAGCCATTCCCCCACAATTTTAAACAAGTGTATTTCAAAGGAGCTGGAGCAACAGTGTAGGACAACTTTCAGTGCTGGGACCACCCCCAGATGTGAGAGCAGAGGGAGCAGCGCTGCTGAACCCACCGAGGCAGAGCCATCACCACCTCCCTCCTGCCCTCCTGGGCTCCCAGGTCTCCTGGAAAGGAAAGCACAACCAGGTGACACGGTGGCAGTGTCCTGCTGTGCCACCACACAGCTGAGCCCTTCAGCATCCTCCAGCCTGGACACTGAGATTCCCAGTGAAACAGACCACACCAGGCACAGCTGGACTCACTTTTAAAATCCACTTTCTTACCCTGTGCTGAATTTTTCAAGCTTGTCCAACACAACTGAAAAGGCTTCTAAGCAGTGCTGCCACCAACTCTTTACTGACACAGATCTACTGCCTACAGCCAATATCCCCATCATGGGTGTTCTTCCTGCTCCTCCTGGGTTTTCCAACCCAGCCAAAACCTTGAGGTGCTGCCACGCACAGCAAGAAATTCACCCCAAGCTGACCACAAAAAAGAAACAACTGACCATCAAAAGCAAATTCAAAATACATCCAAGAACTCAAAATAGCAACTACATCCTAAGCTGCTAATAAATAGATTTTCTAATTAAGTACTACCACATTCTAATACTATGAAATTACATTACAAAACCTGCTGGAAACACAAGCTTTTAGTCAAGTCTCTTCTATGAGGAAGGAGTGGGACTGTTCAGCTGCAGTTCTAGTAGTCAGGCATTTTTTTGTTGGGTTGGTTTTTAAATTGAGCTAGTAATTTTTAATTCAACTGAGTTAGGTATTTTCTACTCTAATAAGCATCAGACTTTCAAGACACTGGTCAAATTCAATACTCTTGTTTACACTCAGGGCTCAAACCCCCTGAGACAACTCAATGCTGCTGCATCAAGGTCCACAGAGAGCAGGAACTCAATGCTGTGAGCACAGGAAGCAAAAGGCTGTTGAAGAACAAGACCAGAAGGGATGAGAGCAACAGAGACAGGAGAAATAATGAAGATGGGAAGACACAACAAGACTGCAGCTGTTTCCTCACCAGCAGAAGCCAGGGGCAGCTGTTTGCGTGTTGGCTGAGAGGAGGTTTGGGAGGAGTGAGCAGAGAGGGGATGGATCCTGCCATGCACAGGTCAGCTGGAGAAGGGGTGAGGTGCTCCTGTGCAGGACTGCTGGGGACAGGTGACCTTGCAGGAGTGACAGCAAGGCAAAGGGGGGCAGGTACCCCGAGGCCTCACAGAGCCCATGGCCTCACACTGATGAGCTCCAAGGGACAGGGAGGGAGGGAGGCAAATGACAAGAGCCCATGGGAGGAGATGTTAAATAAAACCCACCTGTTTTATTCCTTACTCTGGACCATAAGCTCTGGGTCTTTCCACTTCGGCGTGTACTTGCAAAGCTCAGGTATGGTCTGGTCTGCAGCTTCATTCCCCTCTGTGATTGCCACAAACACAACTGGACAGCTCTGGTGGAACCAAGGATGCCAACCAACACCAGATCAGGGACATGGACACATCCATGGCCAAGTCACAGACACAGAAGCACTGCAGGGACTTCAAATGCACAAGAAAACAAGATCCACTCACATGGAAAACGAGTGACTAACACAGATGTATGTGAAAAACCAAATGCTTTAATCCATCTATCAAGAACAACAGTTCAAATTATTTCATTGGATACATTAATATTGATCCATAATTTACAGTGCTATGGACCATACACAAATTATTGCTGCAGTCAACAGCAGATGAATATCAACATTACAGTACCAAGCATCATAGCAAGAGGCAGTAATTAATGTCACTTTTTCAAGAAATATAGGTATTTATACTATTATCAACATCAGCTTCCCCCCCCCAGTGCATTTTATGTCAAACAACATAAATGTAAGTGCATTATTTTGTGCTTTGTGCTTTCCTTATGTACCTTCTTTTTGCTTTTACAGGTTGTAAGAGTTAAATATTGCTTTATAGGCCAAAAGCAGTAAGGAAGAACTTCACGGTACTCTGCACGCCCCTGCCTGTTGCACGGCTTTGGCCAAAGTGAGAATTGGTCGTTTCCCCACCCACTTGCTCAGGGAAGCCACCGCTGCCCAGCGTCACCAGAGCGGGCAACAACTTGTGTCCATCTCACTGCAGCCAGCCCATGCCCAGCCGTGCCTGTGACTGCTGTGAGTGCTGCCTCTGTCCCCTGCCACCAAGCCCCGCAGGGTCACACCCTCCACCACGCTCAAGCAGGCAAAGGAACCTCCTGTTAGCACCCACGGGGGGTCTGTGTCTCCTGGAGGTGTCCCCACTGCAGTGTCACCATTCCGAGGGTGGGGAGCCTCAGAGGAGGGCTGTAACCTAAGGAAACACGGGGGGGAAGAGTGAGCAGGGCACGGCCAAGTTGTGTTACCCCAGAAAACACCAGGTATAGGAGCACACAACACAGCTGCTGCAGCCACAGAGACTTCTGCCAAGGAATCTAGCTCTTGATGGAATGGTTGGCCTTGAATCCTAGCTCACCTCCACACAGCCAAAAATCAGAAGTCACAGCTGTCAGCGAGTACCAGTGGTTTCACATAAGCTTGAAAAATATTCATTTGCCACAGTCTGGACTTGAATTTCTGAATGCCCAGGGCAGGCACCAAACCAAAAGCTTCATTCAATACATTCAGTGGTTCTCAGTTACTACACTCTAGCATGCACACCCTGATTTGCTGTACCAATGCTGCAGAGCTGCCCCTCTGGCAGCTGGGGAAGGGCAACACAGCCCTGTGCTACAACTATAACCATTTTTCACAGATTTTCCTACCTGTCACCCCAGCCAAACAGCAGCACCAGAAGCCTGTACCCCACACTTGACTCAGAGCTATGGCACAGCTGCCTGGCAGGGACTGGGGGCATTTCCTGCCCCAGGACCATGGTGACCCCCAGCACATTCTGCAGCCTCCTGGTCCTGCCTGGGCCAGAGCTTCTCTACCCTAGGAAAGACATATTCCCAAAAGCTGCCTGGGCTGAGGGGGACATCATTACAACCCAACTCCAGCTCCTCCTTCAAGAACTATAAAAGAAAAAAAGCCACAACCCCATGGTTGCATCAACGCTAACACATCGCTGGCGGCTCAAGCGGGAAGGAAGGGCTGGACACAGCCACGGGAAGAGTGACAGGAACACAGACCCCGAGTTCCACAGCCCTGCAGAGCCCGGAGCACAGGCGCCAGGCAGGGGACACCAGGAGCCCTTGCCACCCACACCAGGAGCAAGTTCCACAGCCCTGCAGAGCCCGGCCCCCCTGTGCTGGGAGCACAGGTGCCAGGCAGGGGACACCAGGAGCCCTTGCCACCCACACCAGGAGCAGCAGTACCAGGCAGGGGACACCAGGAACCCTTGCCCCCCATGCCACAGCAGCAGTGCCAGGCAGGGAGCCCTCCTGGAGAGATGTCTGGGAGAGGGCTCAGCGCTGTGGGAACTCCCATCACTACCCCCAGCCACCCCGTCCTACCCAGTTCACATTTGGTTTCTGAACACCACCTGCTGAGCCCAAGGTTTTCTTGGAAAGCCGGCCAAACTGGCACTCAGGTTACTCACCGTTGCACTCATCCTATGCAATTTCCAGTGTAGCACAAAGGAGAAAGGGAAGCTCTGGTTTTCTATCCGTAGGCACCATGCTACACCTCAAGGCCCTACACACCACCACCCTAAAGCTCTGTCTACGCCACACTTCAGTCAGTGCTAGTCGAGGAAGACTACAACTAGAGTTTAAGGCACTTCATTCTGAACGAGCTACGCCTGCCAGTCAGCTGTAGGCTGCCGTGGAGAATTCCATTCCCTCTGTCTAGCTCGGAACACCACCTGTCACCTCCGTGGAACACCTAGGCTGGATATAATACAAGGAAAACTACCGTTATTGCATAGGACTACACTGGAGTAGATAATGCACCAAACTACTTTTACAACATGGTTGCATGTTAAAAATTAATAACATTGTTATCAAGTAACAGTTATTTGCAGATACAGTAATTTACTCTTTTTTTTTTTTTTTTCTCTTATGTCAGCCCCGGTGCTGAAATAGAACACGAATTGCTCTAACGGGTATATTAACTACATAGTTATGTTTCCAAGCATATTACTACTTTTTTTCTGTATCACTAAAAATAAATATGTAAGTTCAGTTTCTCTACAGAGTTGTTTTATTACCTAATCTAAATTTTTACTCTACCTTAAATGCGTTTAAAAACATTTTCAAAGTGAGACTGTAATATACAAAATATTCTCAAAATCTCTCTTAAAACACAGAACCCTGCATAAAAGCTTCCTTTCAAGTGTTTACAAAGAACGCAGAAAACTTCCAATGAGTTTTAAAAATGTCAAAAAATCGCTGCAATATTAAGAGGCAAAAATCTTACAAATGAAATACAAATAAATTTAAAACAAAATGTTGAGGATAACTAAGGAATCCATGCAAATCAAAAGAAACTGTACAATGCAATTTAAAAAAAAAATAAAGCCAATTAGATATGTACAACATAATGTGCCCAGCTGATAATATGCATAATTTCCTTTTGTCCAAAGAGTGTATCCCAACTTACAGTGCTCCTGCTTGGTTTGCCATTGGCAAAGCCACCCATGTCTGTCACAAAACAAAATAAAAATTGAAGAGGAAAAACTTGATCCATGATCAAAAGGAAAACCCAAATCAGCTCAGAGTAAAATTAAACAACACTCTGAGACACTCACATCTCCCTGCAGTTTCAGCAACAGCATTTTATACCACAATCAACACAATCAGGATGTCTTAACACTTGGGTTTAGTTTGTTTTCTGAGTGAAGTCAGGTGGGTATTTTCCCTAAACACTTGTCAAATAAGACCAACATTTGAGGGACACTGTATCTTTAAGGCAGCACTATTCAATTAATACAATTACAAATTGGACTTTTTTGTCATTGTTGTTGTTTCTTTACATTCTTAAACTTTACATTTTGTTTCCAAGTAAATAGGTTGCATTTACAATCCTGCAATTGCCCCCTCCCCCCCCCAGTAGAAACAGACTCTTCATCTGTAATTCTATTGCTTTGAGTAGATTTGACCAGTTCAAAGTTCTTGGCGAATCCAGTTCACAGATTCTGTACATATGCTGTACAATATTTTGGAGGCATTGGTAGTTTTAAAATAGAATATACAAGTTTCTTCACAAAAATTCTAAAAAAAATTCTATATATATAATATATACACACACGCACACACACTGATGAAGCACAAGGGGGGGGGAAAAATCAAAAAAATTCTACAAAAGGTAAATTATTTCATCTACTGATCAAAGAACCAAAGCAGTTTATGAAGGGTGTGCCAACAGATGCTAACAAGCATGGTCAGTGTCCTCCATGCTCACGCTGCTCCGCCTGCTACTCGTCTTTGATGCCCCAGGAGACACGGAGGAGAGCAGTGGGTCAGTCACTCCCACGGGGGACAGGGTATCGTCCATCAGGATGTCTTCCAGTTTGGATCCCATTTTGGCAGGAACTCCGTAGGTGCCAGCTGGCTCAGTCACGTTTCCCAGGTTGTCGCTGAAGGTGATGGTGCCGTCGGTGAGGTCCAGGGTGGTGGTGCAGGACAGGTCTGTGTGGTGTGGCATCATCTCTTGGCTGCAGTTGTCCAGCACAGGCTCCTGTTTGATGACCCTGTTGACCATGTCAGGGGAGCAAAGGCCTGTGGATGGGACAAGGGACAGTCCGTGTGCCCGGGCTTGCATCTCAAGTTCCTGTGAAGGAGAATTAGGGGCAAATTAAATCTGGAAGTAAAATTTGTCTTATGCTCGTCTCGCAGCTTCCAGTTTCCTTCTCTTGTACACATTTCATCCCTTCCCCATAGTGACAAGTGCCTGTACCTTGCACACTCCAGCCCTGCAGATTTTCACCTGAAGAGCAGAGTCTTGAAGAGGTGGGTGAACACCATCCCACACAGGCCCTTCACACTCCTCCTCAGCACCTACACCAGAGCCAAAACCCAGCACTCTGCAGCACAGACATGTTCCCCTCAGGCTTCTTCTCAAACCAGTGCCAGGATAGACAGGTTTGGCATCAGGTAGGGTGAGGAAAACATTTAAAAATAGGAAAAAAAAAAAAAAGAACTAGCAGAAGCATGTGTTTTTAGTAATTTTTAAAAAGTCATCTGTGAAGGCACAGCATGTCTATGTGATCCTTATCAATCCCTGTTGAGACTCTGGAGGGGACATTTCTCACTCTACAAGTCTGGCAGAGCTGGAAGAGGTCAATCAAAACTGAGCAACACTATTCCTGTGCAAAAAAAAAATCACAAGGAAGTCACAGGAAGGTTTCAGACTTCACACAGAGCCAGGATTCTTCAAATTTCCATGAAAAGTTTAAATCTCACATTCACATTTAATAATACAGAAATGCTCTCTCACAAATACATCAGTAAAAGAGACATTTTGCTTCTACTTCTGTATTATACCAGGCAATCACAATCTCTGTTGTGATTGTGCTGTTTCTGGATATTCCTGTCACTGAGAATGATTATTACCCTTTCCCATCATCTCCAGGCTAAAACAAGCTTGTAATGGCACACTGCAAGATAAGAAGGTGGAATGAGCAAGCACTTCTTCCATCAGCTAACGTGCCAGAACCAGGAGTTCCTTACTTCATGATTAATCAACACAAAAAGGGAAAATACACACTTGAGGTTATTTGCTGCCAGATGTATCGCCTGTTATTCAAGGGTCTGGGTTTTATGGTATTTTGATTGAAGAAGTCAGAGCAGGTGGGTAATACAAAGAAAGATGAAAGATGTTTAAGAAGTGATCTCACTTAGCTTTGAAACACCACTGCTTGATGCTGCTCTGCAGAAGATTTGTGTTTTTATCATCTCACTCTAGCAGCAGATTGCTCAACCAAGTACAAAACTGCGCTGAGGCTCAACTTGACCCATTCTATTTTAAAGCTGTTTACTTCCACACTTGACTGTCAGGTATTTGCAGCTTCATTATCTCCCCAGTGGATTAGCTGGGCTGTTAAGGGGTCTCTTGGCAGGCTGCAGCTACATGCAGAGCACAGCTGTTCGTGCTGCAGGGGAGCAGCAACACGAGGATATCTGGGATATCACTGTCTCCATGTTAGGTGTTCTTACACCCACTTCTGGTACACTTCTTTAATTACCCTTCTATGGAGAGGGGTGGCTATCCAGAAAAAAACCCTATGTTGGCATCAAAGTTAAGGTTTCCTATCCAGCTTGAGGTGAAGACAAAGGAATTAGTTAGAGAAATGGAGTTTTCACCCTTAAATTTCTGTGTAGCTCAGAACACTGGGAACCTGGGTGAATCTAACAAGGCAGCAACCCACAGAAAAAACATATTCATGCCACCTACTGCTTTTCAGTGCTGAGGAGAACTGTTGTACAGTCCTACAGACTGCAAGCAGCAGGGAAGACTCACAAAGAGCTGAACTTAATTTCGTGACTATCAACAACTATATGACACATGAAGTCCCAATGCCTTAGACCTGGCAAACAGAAGAATGTATTACCACATAAATCTTTTTGATGGCATGGTTTGGAACTAGCATTAGCCATGGTAGAATAAAAACAGACCACTCATAAGTGCTTTTACTAGGCACTTATGTGTGTTAGGATTCTTTTTTTTTTTTTTTAACTAAGATATCTTTGGCTTTTTCTGGAAAAATCTCTGCAGACATCTCCGCACTGCCCACCAATTTAAACGCTGGTTCCTTCTAACCCACACCCCCCAAGCCACCACTATTTGCAATCACACGCTGTAACACCAAAAGCACTTGCAGCTCATTTCTCAGCAAACCTGTATTCTGAGGAGCAGGTGCCTGTTGGCATGTTCCAGCTTCTTCTGCCTGTTCTCCAGCTCCTTGGTGCGCTGCTGTTCCCTCTGCAGCTTGCGGATGTAATCCACCGACGCCTTCAGGATCGTTCCCTTGTTCCAGCGCATGTCACTTTGGAACAACACAAAAGGACAAGGTAAGGCTCTGCTTCACAGAGCTGTTCCCTTCATACCTGTACCTGTACATTATGCACACATAACACCCAGCTGCTATTTATTGCGAGTTTGTGGATGCAGAAGGCGTTTGCAGTGCACTAGAGGGGGCTGGAGCACAGCCCTTGGGAAGCACGTCTGCTTCAGAGAGAGAGAGAGGCTGCTGCATCTCCTCACATCATCTCACTTTCTCTAAATGGGCAAAAAAACATCTTACTGCAACCTGTCAGTGCAAAGATCCACCTGCCCTGGACATTGGTACTGAGACATATTGTCTTGCTGGCCTTTGAGGAGGCTGCAGAGCCTCTCTGCAGAGTAGCTGTGAAGTTGCTCCATGAGCAAGTGCCTCAAAATACTGCAAAATGTCCCCAAAATCATCACGGGGTGTTGATTTAAGTGGGCTCTCAAACTCCAGAGGAAGAAAGGTTCCTTGCTACTGAATCAGCATTGAGAAAGTGTAAATACAAGCTAAAAGCAGCAAAATCATTGTAGAATTATCACAAAGAACATCTGGGAACTTACAGCAAACACCGACAAATTAACAGTGAACAAGGACAGTTATGCTCTTTATTTTCCTTTTTTTTTTTCCCTTGGAGGGAAGGGGAATGGATGGCTTCCCAGATAAACTGCCCTCCATTTTCACTGAAACAGGGACCAGTTCTGTCTTGTCAAGTTGTAACATCTAATTAATTAAAAGAATCATTTAACAAGACATGCAACCATCTCAGCAGCCAGACCAGCATAAGGTTTCCCCTCCTCACAACTCTGGTAAGGCAGTCAGTCACCCCCAGCACCAAGCCCAGCTTTGAGACAAAAAGCATCTAATTAATACAAACACAAGCAGATTCCAAAAGGGGAAAAATTAATCCCTCAAAAAAATCTTCAAAAAATATAATGGAACCTTTCAAGCACTTCTGCTGTCACAGAGTGCTGAGAGCAAGTAGAAAAGAGGAGTTTTGGGGGTTTTTGTAACTTCTTGCTCTCCCCTAGGATTTTTTTTACCTTCTCCCTCCCACAGTCTCCCTGGGCATGTTGTACTTACGGGTCATTTGACTTGGGTATCAAGGTGCCCAGTTCTTTTATACGATCATTAATATTAAATCTTCTTCTTCTTTCAACTTTAGGAAAAACAGCACAAATGTTGCAATTAATATTCACACTTAATCACAACTTATCAAGTGTTTTATCAAAGATTTCTTTAAGCACCGCTGAAATGTTTGCCTGAAGCTTAAAATCCAGGGATAATTTATTCTGCTCTCCTACACACGGACACACTAAGACAGAAGTTCTGTCTATACTGTAAATTTTGGGACTGCAGAGTTTAACTGAGACTAAAAACCAGAATGACTGAGAAACAAGCATTTTCTGGGATAAGGATCACAGACAAATTCAGAGACAAATATTTAGATGCTCAAGGAAATCCCAAGACAGAAATAGGGACAAAAGGCACTGTCTCTTTTTTCAAGCAGTCTTCCACGTGCAACACTCGGAGGATCCAAAAGTCAAATTTAAATACCAATTTTCCTGCATTACCTTTTCATGCTATGGAAAAGGCTTCTGAATGGCTCAAGGCATGAAACAGTTCCTTTTTTCTACTACTATAAAGTATAAAAAGAAAAGTTATGGATCCTTTATTAAGTCATAAGATGCTCATTATTTTAAAACATTATTTTCCAATTTGCAAATATGAGCTCCTTTCAAAACTGAAATTTATAAAATTGCCATAGTGAGGACCCATTTGCTGTTTAAAGCCACAAATTGACCAGACATCTAATATTTTTTAAAAAATTAAAATTAAAAAAGCGGAATTGTGCAAGGTGGATTTGTTAAAAGCAATTGGGTCACGTGTTGAACCCAGCAATTCCACTGATAACAATCACTCATTCACTTGGTTTATTGAAAATAAATAAAAATAGAGTTATAATTCAGTAGTAGATTTAAGGACACATTTCACAAGAAATTGAGCTATTTGATCTATGGGCATAACACAATGATCTAGTGCTTTATACTACGTGCAGTATCTCATCCAGATTTAAAACATTAGTATTTGAACATTTAATACCCAAAATCATTCCAGGAATTGGTGCAAAATGTGAGGAACCAAAACTTACTCAAGTTGTGATTGTCTTTCTTTTGCCTCTCCTTAGCCAACGCTCTCGCTTCCGACTCTGTAGGAAAAATACATGCTGTGCATGTGAATGAGGTAATTAGAATTAAAATAATTCAATCACAGCCTTCCAGCCTGTGAAATGCCTGCACAGGAAGCCTGATGGATATTTGTCACACCAATCATTACCCCCATTCCAAGGAGCAAGAAGGGCTTGAGGATGCCAAAACACAAGGCTGGGACTGAGCTTCACCTCTGCACCTGTGGAGCATCTCTTCCCACACTTCCCAGAGTGACTCCCTGGATGGGAATGTTTCCCACGGAGGCCCTGACTCAGCAAGGGATTTGAGGATGACAAGGTGCTGAAATCCAGCATACCTTCCACGTGTGCACACGTATCCCACGGGAGCTGAGCCAGAGGAACAGCATGCTCGGGGCACTGCTGCCTGCTCAGGATGTGACACAGGCAGGACTCACAGGCTCTGCTCACCCAAATTAAGGCTACATCCTTCTGTGGCACGTGCACACACACCACCACAGCACTCAAGGGATACCTTAAGTGACTTGTTAAGAATAGTGTATTTTCCAGCTATGCTAACTGTTTCTGTTAGATGAAGGGAAAAAAAAAAAGGTGAAAAATTCAACACCTTTCTTAGCAATAAAGCTGGAAAACAATGGTTCTTGATTTGGGAAAAGCAAAAAGGAAAGTCATGGCAGTCATGCTGCACAGAACTTGTCTCCTCAACTCAGACGTGGCCTTCATCTTGCTCTACACACTTATTACCTATTTTTTATTATTCTATTATTATTGATATTATATTCTATAATAGTAATTATTAACTTCAGCATAAAATAGTTCAGGCAGCAGCACAACTAAATTTCTTCTTTTCAGTTCTCATTTGGTCCTAAGCTTTTCAAGTAATTTCAAGTATTTTATCTTTGCTCTACCCCTTTTCATTTTTTTAAAAGGATTAATTCATTAATCCTTGCCCCATTGCATTTGAATCCCCAAACCAGCAACCACTTTGCAGTTCCACAGTAAGTCAGTGAGGAGCAATGAGTGCATCACCTTTTATCACACGTTCCATTGTTAAAGAATCCCTCACTGTAGCCAGTAAGTTTCTTTCCTGTATTACTTTGTTTTGATCAGAAAAAGACCCACCTAAATGAATTCTGTGTACAGGTAAGTGTAGCATACAGACATTAAACTTAATTCAGTTCTGTTTTGATGTATTTGATGTATTGAGGACTTCCATAAGACATCTTCACTCACAATTTTCCCTCTCTTTCTGCCTTTTTGGCCTGAAGCCTGACACAAAAAAAAAAGCCTGCAGAAAATCCACCAGTCTGCACATCTAAGCTGGACTGAGTTTGCAGCCTACAGCCCCTGGGACTTTCTATACTTGGGACAACAAAACTGCCTGTAATGCAGAACTCTGAGCAGCTCTCCTCCCTTCCCACCCTCCTCTTGCACAGTTCCATCTCTGTACAAGCTTTGCTTTTTTCTAGCAGCCACAAATCATTGTGTGCTCTGTGTGTCTTTTTTTTTGGTGCTGAGTTCAAATTCTGTGCTGTCCTATAAATGCAAATATCTGCTGGCTCAGAGAGGTGGCATTTCCTCCTGGCCTATTAAAACTGCTTTGCTTAAACTAATTCCTGTCCAGAACCTGCTTTGCAACTGAGTCAGCCTTTGAGTTTTCACAACAGAAACCCAGAAAGATGACAGACAAAAAAGAAACCAGGCCCCTACCCTACTGCATGGTTAGTGACTCTCTGCTGGGCTTAAGAACAGGCATTTCTGGGCATTAATATGATTTTGCCATCAGTTCTAGAGTGGAACTCCATTTGACAGCCTACAGACAACCATGCTTTGCATATGCACTCTATGTGTGGTTATATCCTTCCAAGTGAGCAGAAATAAAACATGCCTGTGAATATGAAACTTATTATTTGCTTCAAACTATCTTGCTCCTGTACACATGTGCTTGAGAAAAGGAGTTTTTTAGTGTCCCACTTCCCTGCCCCTGCCTCCCACAGCTTGTTCAGAGCACTGCTGCAGGAATTGGCATAAAACTTTAAGGAACACTTCATTTTCATCTTAATTTAGTGATACATATTCATGGATGATTGAATGGCTTGGGTAGGAAGGGACCTTAAAGATCATCAAATTCCAATCCCCCAAGTGCCTAATTTTACATTTTGAAGGATCTACATGACCAGACTTCACATCATAACAGGCTATTTGTTCATTACTGCCCTCCCCTACTGAAGTAAAGCCCCAATGTGTATCATTCCTCGACATGAAACCCACAGAGACTACAGATGTGAAGTTGTTAAAGTTTGGTATTGATAGAGCAATCAGTAAGTCCAAACTAGTAAACAGCTCTGGAAAAGATGCATGGAAGCTTCCTGGAACACAAGACAGTGCAGGTGTGACTGTAACAATTAAGGACTTCATATGGACTTGTGACAGTGAACACACGCGCACCCACACATGAACACGGGCTGAAAGTAACTGCTCACCCATATATTCTTTCTCAGAACAGAAATTCTGTCCAGTATCACCTGAATTCAAATGATACTATTACTCTAAGGTGGTATTTTAGATGTATTTACCTGTGAGCTCCCTTTTTATATTAGGAAGATTAGCTGGACATGAGTTGCTGATGTTTAGTCCTGGAGGAGGCATGCTCTGGTTGCCATAAAGGTCAATCAAATTGCCAGACACAGGCAACTGGAAAAGATAAACAAGGAAAAGGATCATTTGGTTTGCCTTTATGAATGCCTTTGTACAGAAGAACAGAGTCAGGATGTGCTAAGTAATCTGTGCTCTTTTCCATGTGCAAACAGAGCCTGCAAGAAGGTCAGCAAAATCCACAGATATTCACAGGCATGAGGGATAAAACATCTACACTGGGAAAGTTCTGCTCTCTCTCCTCAAAAGTATGCAGATTTAAAATATTAAGAGGTAACAGAAGAGGTAAATGCTGATGATATTGCTGCACTGTTGCTCCTTATTTTTCTCTAATACTATTACATCAATATCCCTTAAACTTCTCTCATATCTGAAAGAGCCTACAGAACTCTCCCAGAGAAACCCCCCACTTTTTCCAGGGATACGTGAGTGGAAGCACTTTGCAAGTTGTCACATGCTGGAAGAAGAACACTGTATTAATTAATCACATTTTTCATGTGATTTGAAAGCTACCTACACAGAAAACATTTTAGTTTACTTTGTTTTTCGCCTTACATAACAAAATGCACACCAGTAGGAGGAAGATTATTTTTACAGTAAGTTTCCTCAATTACTTGTTCACTGTGCTGAATTTATTTAGGTATTTAAACAAGTAGATTTATACAGAAATAGGACAGTATTTCAACAAGTTCCATCAAAGCTATCCCTTTATATTGAAACATATTTAAATAAGTTTGCAATTAACCTGAGTGGATTATTTTACCCATCTCTTATTTGGTTTTGAAAAGACAGGTATAAAACACTCAGGTATCTTATCTGAGTGATAACACTAATCATCACTGCTGCAAAGAAAACCAATCCCTCCAAGACACTGATCCTGCAGAGATTAGAGTAGGTATTAACTTTACACCCATGTAAATAATGCTGGTGAATACAATGCAGTGAGTCACAGCCAGGACTATTAAACTCCTACTGATAGGCCTTGCCAGACTGGGACCTAAGAAAATTTCTCTGCCATATGGAAGCAGATTAAACAGGAGTGGATATGTAAAGTACCACCAGCTAGAAGCCATGCTGATGGTTGCTGAGAACAGATGATGGCCAACTACAAAACCAAAGTCCCCTGACTAAAACTTGAAGAGACAGAGGAATAAATGTAGCTGAATTCTCACTATGAGTCAGCCTTACTCAAAAAGAAAAAAGAAAAAAAAGGAAGATAATAGTGTTGCTCAGGTCACAGCTGTGCTGGTTGTGACCTGCCCACATTAGTGCCAGGATGACCACTCAGTCTCACTGCTCTACAAGGCTGACCCTTGTGCCTTTGGGTCCCCCAAACACATCCCTGACACTGACACAGCAAGAGCGTCACACACCCTTCTGACTTGGATGTGCTTGAACTATTCATGCTCCTAAGCATGGGGAGAACACAAAGACCTTGTTTGTAGCCCAAGGACTTGAAGTTCATAACCAGACATGTGAAATCTAATTAGGAACTTCAGGGAATTTAGAAATAAAAAAGAAGATTTTTTTGTTAGAAATCTTGAAAGTGGCATCTCAAAGCCTGGGTAAAGCAGCCAGGTTGTAATGAAATGTGGAGAACACCAAGCTGCTTTCCTTACTGCAACATGGACCCTGATTGTTACAACCGTTTGTGATTGATTTTTTTTCCCCAAAGGAGTCAAACACTGAGCCAGATTTCCATGTCAATAAACAGGACCAGTGTGAGCAATGATCACAAAAGGAGACAGAGAAGACAGGCAGCAACTGCTGAACATGTGCATGGCTGCTAAAGCTGTCCACAGGAATGCTTTTCAGAGAAATTCACATTAGGGGGAGGGAGATGCCAACAATCTCCACTTAAATCAGTGATCCATGAGCAAAGAGACTGATCAGTTCCTTTCTTTGACCACTTTCCCCAGCATCCAAACTCCACAGGCAAAAGCTTCAGTTTTAACATTTTCCTACACATGGTCCATGCTCAGTATGAGTCCCTGAGAGGCTTTTTCTCCAGGATGGCTGCAGGTCACATCTCTGGTCACATTTCACACATAACTTACACTACTAATTCCTTTCCAAAAACATAAAGTGCATGCAACACTCTGGCCATTTCACACAAAATACCTGCAGCTAAAGATAAGTGAAAATTGAGGCACATCCTCAGTTCACAATTTTGTAACAGCTGCCAGAGGAATAAAATGAGTTGACCAAGGTAAACACAATAGTCATTAGTGCACGGTTTAGGGAACTGGGAAAGGGCAGAGGACCCCTGTGCTGGGGGCATTGGCTTGAGATGCACAAGACAGCAGTGTGGTGAGCACACAAAAGCAGCCACTAGGCTTAAATGGGGCAAAAAAAGCCCCAAAGGAGTTTATTATGAGCCCATTGCAGTGACACCTGAGTATTTATCTCAATTGTTTCTTATTTGAAGAAACTGGAAAAAAAAATACACATTGTTGGCAAACATTTTGGCTCTAAGACAGTTGAGCCTTTCACCACCATCCTCAAGTACAAGATGGAAAAATGTCAAAACTTCCACAGCCATTTCATAGGGAAGCTGGAATCTCAAACTTGAGAAAGACACGGAATTTTCTGGAGCTAAGGAAGCTCCTTCCCTGTCTTCTTCAAATTCTAGCATGTTTCCAACCTAAATATGGTTTTCCTTAGAGCTTTCTTAGCTATTTCTGGCTGAGAAGGAATTTAAATACAGCACCAGCCAGATCATCCACCTTTACTCTTCCAAAAAGTAAGTGAAGGAAGGGTGGCTTATGCCAGGTTTAGCATGTTATCTTCATTGAAACAGCATGGTTGAAAATGCTTCCACTAGGGAGATTTCATATTTCAAGGTCTTGGCATCACAAATTGCACAAACACCAAGTAAAACAAATTAAAATTTTCCTATCACTTTGCATCTGCTTCTTTTTTTTTTTTTTCCTAATAATGGCTTTTATATAACAGAAATTTGAAATATGGTAATTATGACTGCAGATTCATCATAGTGTACATTCATGGGAGTCTGAGGCTTTCATTTCTCCTCCACTACTCCCAACAAAACAAGCACCCACATTCTGTCTAAAATCACTGAGACATCAGCTGTGTGACCAACAAGGCTGTTTCTAAGGTACCAGTACACACTGGATGGGTTCTGCACCCCAGCTTGTGCAGCCCACAACATATTGTGATGTTCCCTGACCTACAAGCACAAGCTCAGCAGCAGCCCCTGTAAAAAACTCTTCTACAGTGGAGTTTAAATTCCAGAAGAAAGCCACATTTAGAAGTGGAGCTGTACCTATTCACAAAGCTTTCCATGCCAGGCTCTGGCTGGAGTTGATTAGCTGGATGAATTAATTGTTATCTCCACAAGAGCACTTTACACAGTACTCAGTAATTCAATTAGCAGGTGACATCTAGGCAGAAAACCTCTATAAACTAGTTACCATTTTGTGATACTTTCCACCACAGTTATTATTCCACTCTCACAAGCAGTTAACTGCAATGGGCCATTTTCAAGGTACTTGGAAACTCCCTTAGTTTGCCCTGCACAGAAATCTCTGATTTTGCTTATCAATTAAGTACTGTTACCAACTGTAACAAACTGGTCCTTTTGTTCTTTGTTGGTTATGGAACAACAACTGCCTTTGTCACAGACTCAGCACAGCTATTTATAGCTTGTGTCTCTTTAGAGACCATTTCCTCTCTTGATTTCTCCTACCTCGACTTAGTTCAGTCTGTAGGCATTAATTCTTTATTAACAAAATGTTGCATGTTTTAAGAGCTAAGTCCTGTCCCAAAAGAAAAGTGTCTGGCTTGGTTTTTTTCCCTAAACCAATTATTGAGAAACATGGTTCAATTTCCATCTCTTCAGGACTGGTACTAGGCTGATTCAGAGACTGAAATATGCTTTTTTCCTCCAGTTATTTAAACTTATCAGTAAAGAAGTCTTAATTTCACTGTTTCATATCCTTATTTTTCAGACTTCAACATACAGAGTGGGAAAATTCTGAAATTCCACAGTAAATGTGGATCAGGCAGTCTTTACAATGCCATGCAGTATGCACAGCAAAGCACAGGCAGGGGCTCCTTGCACCAAAAGAGTGCAGAGTATCCTTCTATACCTGTCTGGAAGCAAAGAGCCACTCTGGGGTCCCTGTGAAATGAGAAAAGAAGGAAAGCGTGAAGATAACCCTTCTGAATTAATGTGTCCCAATCCAATGGAACTTCAGAGAAAAGACTCCAGAAGAACCTCATCCCTCAATGAAAAAAAAAAGATAAATTGAAAAAAAATATTAACTTTTTGAAAGCTATCTTTTGTCAGCTCCTTGAGGTTTCCTCTCAAATTCCAGGACAGCTGCACTTTGCAAGTCATCTTAGATTAAAGGAAAATTTATTCTCTGCAGCAGGACCGTGCAGCTCTTTGCCTGTGTGCTCAAAGGGCACCATTTAGAAAGGGAAGCTGGTGGGCCGCTTCCTGCGTCATCCACCACGTCTCTGAGAGGGCTGTGGGAATCTGTGGGAGCACAGGACCAGGTTAACATGACATCAGACAACTACTGTCAGCAAATGCAAACCTATGCCACAAAATCAATGCTCTGTGGTAAGCTGCAAATTTTGGCACCAGATGAAACAGAAACAGACGCCAGCACTGGCAGACATCTACTCAGCCAGATCTAACAGCACTTAAGCCTAAGGCAAAAAAATTCACTGGAGCTACCCTCCACAGAAGATCAAAATCAGATTATGCCAGAAGTATGATTATATTAATTCTCAAAGCAATGTGAACCAAACCAAAAGAGCCACTTGGAGGACACCTGTGCTTTCCCTCAGCGCTTTCTGCACCTCTGTGTTCTTGGCTTTTATCACAGGCTTCCCACGTCCCCTGCCTTTTTCAGTTTTCAAGCTTGTTTCTTCCTTCCCTTTTGTTTGTTTGGAAGATTGCTTTTTGAAATTTTTTTTTCCTTCTGCTAAATTCTGTAACATCTTTGCTGACGTCTAGCTGGGGACTTCTCCCCACCTGAAATCAGGCAGAGATAAAGCTGTGATGTTAGAGATAACAGAAAGTGTCTCTGGATAGGGATGCTAACACTTGGCAGACCATTTCTTACTTGAATATGACAACATTCAGGAACCTGGGATGCCAGAGGTTCCTCCTTTTCTGAAGTATAAAGTCTATGACAATCTTCAAAATCAGTGCTACTCCTGGTAGCACAGTTTACTCCTCTGTTGCAATCCTCTCGCCACTAACTTGGAAATAAGAAAAGCAAAATTGCCCTTCGTATTTTCTTGACCTGAATCCAGCTTGTATTTTTAAATTCACATTTTTCATTGCAACTGTATCACCTTAAACTCTTCAAAGGAAATCTAATTATTCCCTGTAGAACAATGTAATAACTAGTTAATTGCAAGGAAGAAAAGTCCTGCTGTAGTTTTGCTTCCTCTCAAGGAAAACCAGTTAGACTTAACAGGGAAACCAGAAGGAAAGGACCATTGTACCGTGTTTGCCATTTGCAGGGCTGGGTCCACCAAGCCGAGGATTTCTTCATTATAACTGGACTCCAAGCTAATGATGTCATCAATCACATCATCCATCTGTAGCAGAGAAGTGGACAAAGAGAAACAGAACAGTTATTGGGATCACAGGGACACAGGAGCCTGACAAAGCACTGCAGCCACGCAGCAGAGGTGCCTGTGCAGCTGGGCAATCCCTCAGCTGTGACTCCTGCTGTCCAGGCAGGATACTCAGGTCATGGCAGGGCTGAGGATTCATGGTCCAACCCCCTCCTCCCACCAGCACCTCCTGCCCACGGACACACTGCTCCTCCTGAAGCAGAGGAGGAAGCTGCCTGTGGAATAAGTGACTCTAAGGACACGACTCCCTCTCCCCACGGCAGCACTGCTGCCTCCCCTCCATAAAATGGGACCAAAACCTGGGCACAGGCAGGAACACCGAGCCCTGGATACCTGCAGGGAAGGAGAGGGAGCCAAGATTTGCTGCTGGCCCCTGACAGCAGAATCCATTGGATTTGTGTCCCTCACACACCCTCCCAGGGGCAGCTCAGAGCTGATTTTAGGTGGCACAAAACACCTTCTTTCAGGGGCTGGGCTGGAAGGTTTCCTCCATGCAGGAGGAAACAGTCCTTTACAGCATCCACACACGTGCCCCAAACTGTCCAGCAAGATTGACTATTTCAGGACAGGACTATTTCCTTTTTGCTCACTAAAAAACCAGAGCTTAAATGACAGAGATCTACAAAACCAATGCATAATGGTGATGATAAAAGTAGCAGTACATGGGATTTTTTTATCAGCTCCAGAAAGTGTGATCACAACAAATTACACTGACTGGAAGTGAGGGCAAGAAAGGAACTAACAGTTACAGCCCATACCCGAAGTCTTGTTACTGATTCTGGTAAGAAATAAAAACCTCTTAGTTTTAAGAAAAAGAATGAAAATATAAAAGGGTGATTACTGAGGATGAATTACCACAGATGGATTAAAGCCTTTAAAGCCTTCTCATATAATTTTTTAAAGCACAAGTGTGATCTCCATAGAAATGTGGACTTAGAGATTATCAGGGCAAACCCACATCCATGCAGTCTTGGAAAACACAGTTAGAAAAGACTTCCTGATGCAAGACCTTAAATGGTTGATGTGCTCTTCTGCTATGGCATTACTGTGCTAGAACAGCATAAGCCCTTTCCAGGTATCTTCACATGCTTTTGACACAATGCTAACAAACAACATGCTGAATTGTACCTTAAATATATCTTATATTCAACTTTTTAAAGACACTGTGGGGTAAGTTTATTTTTCAACATAACATGAAAGAAACATGCTCTTTAGAAAAGGGACCTGTGCTCCACCTCCTGTGTCATCCAGTACCTGCATGCATGATGCTCGTGAGTGTGTATTCAGAGCCGGGCACTCACTCTCAACCCTGCTTTGCTCTTCAAATTTATAAAATCCCTGCAGATATAAAAAGAAAAAAAAAGAAAAGAAAAAAAAAAAAAAAGAAGAAGAAAAAGCAAAGCATGGATCTGAGTTCATGGCACAGTCTCAGTCCCAAAAAGAGCACGAATGAAATAGTGTCATGCACACATGTCCCCGATGACACAGCAAAGTGAAGCTGAAAATATCCTCAAGAAAAAAGTGTCTGGGTACAGCTGGGACAATAGGATGGAAATATCTCATTTTCATTTCTTTCAAAACTATGGAGCACAAGTATTACCTTTGCACGTGCAAAATATGTCCTGTAATAACTGTTTCTCCAAGCTGTGTAACATTTTGCTCATGGAATGCGTCTGTACTGAAAATCTGGCACAAGAGCTTGAAGGGGGAATGAGGGGACAAGAGGAACTCTACAATTGCCTCCTACTTTTCATGTTACAAAAATTCTGACATGAGTCTTATATTTGTTAATATATTCCCAACCATTTTGCTTTGGAGCCTGAGCACACGTAACGTCTAACTCAGTTTTTGCCAATAAAGATTAAGACAAGGTTGCAAAGGACTTCTAGACATAGGCTATTGAAGTCTTATATTTGCAGCACTGGAACAGCAATCAGTAACATTTTAGGGCATATTACTGGGATAATCTGGCCTTCCAGCTACACAGGAGACTTGCTCATATTTTACCATAAAAATACCTAAAATATCTCAAAATAGCTTTGTGTTTTTTCAGTTATTTTTGCTATGCTCTTTGCACTTTCTAGATGAACAAGCCATAAATAACATTATTCCAGAAAGCTACAGCTTACAATACTGCTTTGTATTCTCCAAAGGTCAATTATTCACTGTGTGCATCAAGCAACAGGGTGGGGAACAAGAAAAGTAGTTTCAATAAGTATAAACTAGCTAAAATAGTTCAAACAAGAGGAAGCTAGAGGGACATGGGCTTTTTGCCAAAAATATCTATTAATCAGGCAGACACAGAGATAGCAGCTACATTTTCATTACGAACAGAAAAAGACAAACAGAACACCTTAACAGTGAGCAAATATGGTTTTAAAACAACTTAATTAAAGCAGATGACAGCTCTGTTTTAATGACAACACGAACAGGAGAGCTCTTACCTCTTTCTCACAGTTGGAGTTGAGGGTGAGCATTGCCATGGGGCTGTTGGGCGCGCTGCTCCCCGTCCCAGGTGGCATGACATGATCCCCAGGCTGGTTTGGACATGGCAAGCTCAGGGCTTGGTTGGCATGTTTATTTGCTAGAGTGGTAGAGAGGTACTGCTTTACCTGCTGCCGCTGGGCCTGCTGAATGTGGTACTTGGTTGGATTCTCAAGGTGAGTCTGCACCTGTACGACACAATTTGAAAAGGATAAAAGGGATTTATTGTTTTACAATGTCACTGCAGGTGATGTGGATCTGAGCTATAGATTTGTGACATAAGGACAAACCTGTACAGCTCCAAGGAAGTCCACAGTGCTTCACTAACTCGCATTTGGGGCAAGAAATCAGTTTACAATTTGGTCTTTCAACAGCTGACCCACTATCAGTATACCAAGAAGTTCCAGCTATTTTTCTAAAACATGAGATTTCTCACTTAAGACCAACGCTCGGGTTTTCAGTTGATACAGACACTCCAGAACAGTCAGTTCTGAGTTCAGACCTCCAGCTATGTGACATTTAGTTTTCACTAAAATATGGAGAAATGACTTGTACCACAGGACTCATTTTACTTGTTAGTAGCTAACAATTAAAATCAAGAAGTATGGATTTCTATCCTTAATCCAGTATCAAATAACAGAGATATAAAAGGTCTGTTATTGGTTATTTAGGTTTTGAATGTTTGGGGTTTTTTTAAATTAATACCTTGGTTAAAATACAAAAGAAACAAAGGCACCTTTTTCTGCCTACAGATTACTTATACCTCAGATACACAGCCTAAATCATATACAAATAAGACAGCCTGTTTATAAACACATCATGCAAATAAGATGCAAGAAAAGAAGTGTTTCAGTTCAGATCAATCACTGTCGTCAGCAGCAGCTATTTTTGTATTTGAGATAAGCTTCTCAGTACTTAGGATTTTTTTACATACAAAATATGAAAATCCTCATACTGAACAACTGCTGCACACTCTAAATAAGCAAGAGAAGAAAGGCCATTTTTTTTCCCATGAAAATTTTCCGCCATATCCTATAAACTCTTTGTCACCTTTCATCGATCATTAACGTTATTATCGAAAGCTAGAAATCAACCCAAAATATGGCAACAATCTGAAAAGTTATTTTGCTTTAAAACAATTACATTAAAGTGACTTTTGCTGTTATAAGTGACCATGCATGCCCCCCACTTATTGGAATGAAAGAAATTAAATAAAGCACCCAAGACACCAGAGGAAAAGAGTCTCCTGTACACTGTACACCTTCATAGGAACAGGTTTTAAAATAAGTCTCCAATAACAACTCACCTGATAATGGTTATACTCAAGCATTTCCAGCATGCTACCTAGAGGTTGCAAGAGAAGCAACTGCAGTATCTTTTGTCTATGCTACTCCAGTTTGAGGGATCCACATATGGAAGCACAACAAACCCCAGAAGAGCAGAAGAAACTTGATGGCCACTGCTCAGACTTTTAGTAACCTACGCTAATTAGCCATGCAAGTGGACAAACAAACAGTTCACACAAGGCCTCTTCTTGGAAGTTATGCAAGTTTAAGTTAAGCTCTAAGTATTGGTATTTTTTTTTCCCCTGGCTTTGATGTCATGCTTTTTCATAAACATAAAAGGACCTTTTAAGTGATGGGCTATCAAAGTCAGATTGACAGTTCGCTCAAGGCTAATTCGCTATTCAGCTTTCGTTCCAGTCGTACTAACACACAATGGTAGTTTTCTTTAGCAGTAAGGTTAAAAGTTTTTAAGTACAGAGTAAGAAATAACTGAATAAATGCCCTATGAGCCTAACACATATTCCCTGGCAGTGGGTGCCCTGGATAAACCCACAGTGTTCTGCAGTCCGGTCCTCAGCTTCCCAGCACAACCCAGGACCTGCAGCAGAACGTGAAGCACTTGAAAAAGCTCTACCTCATCCTCAGCTTCCCTGGTGCTTCAAAGCCATTGATCCTGTCTCTATGTATAACTGCAAGACGTTTTCCTATTCAGGAATGGCTGACAAAAGGCTAATGCATGCTCCAATTGCACTTATCTGCGTTTGGGCACAGTCCCTACACCTTCCAGAACTTATTTTTTCTTTCTATCCAGCTCCTTGAAAAAGTCTGTACTCAAACACATAAAAACTGCCCAACTGGCATTATTTTCTGAAGTCTGAGCTTACAGGGAAGCACAATAAGATAGCATTTCTAGAAAGTTTAATCTGCTTTATTGCACTGTATCAACAAACAACACTGTGCGGTGATAAGCACAGCACTTTGTCAGTCCCAAACTGCATTATCAATTTTCCTATCATCAGTGCTAGGAGCTACACTATCCAGGTAAGTCTATTTTTCACTAAATTTTCATCTTCCAAGAAGATGAAGTTGTCAGTAAACAAGTGGTTTTTGTAACCCTTCTCTTTGAATATGTTATTTTAAAACCAATCCCTAACTGTCTGACAGAATCTGCACATTCCTTTTCCTCCGCAGGCATCAGGTACCTCTGCTGCTCTCCATCCCAGAATGGAGCAATGTCTCTCCTCTGTGCCCACTGCCTGTCCATCCTTCACACTCCCAGGAGAGAGACCAGCAAAGTTCCAAGATCTACATCTCAACCCTGTATCATCAAATACTACATTATTTATAATATATACCAACACATTTAACTGAATCCACTACACGTCACGTTTTGAAACACACACTGCCTAATTGACAGGGTTTTTGATGGTGAAGCACAGACTTATTTCACAAGAACATACCCTCCCTGTGATTCTGTTGTGCTAGTCTACATTAAAATATTTTATTTTGCTACTCAGTTATTAATATTTTTTTACTGGACTGCGCTGCCCTCAGCATGCCAGGGAAGACAAATTCTGAGTTCATGTGTCACAAGCTCACACAAGTTTAGTAATGAACCAAAGAACACAGAGAACTGCCTTTTCTGTCACTAACCTGCTCCAAAATGACATGAAGAAGACTTTGATTCTCTGTTTTGTCACTGGCTGCTCTCTTGAGTTTCGTTAGGAGTTCCATCATGGAAATCTGGTGGGGACTATCCTGCTGTTTGTTGAGAATTTGTCTTTGGCCTAGAGCATCCTATTCTGCAGATTCTACATCAAAGACAACCATCTTGGGCAAACTTCCCAAGATGCCTCAGAGTCACTATATAGATAAGCCATAAAGCACTCTTCCTTCTTGACAAAATATCTCATGAGCAAAGAGCTGCAAAAAAACCCCATAAACCCTACAATGAAATTCCACTACCCTGAACTTGAAACCGTGAATAAAAGCTTTGACTTAAGATCTAATTTTGGTTCTCAGCCCCTTCTAGCATTTTGGGTGAAGAATAGTTCCTGTTGTTCATCCAAATTCATGAGACACAAAGTGCAAGATGACAAATTATTGGTTTGGATACACTTCCTAAGAAATGTGACTGAATAAGGACATGAAAGGAAAAATAAATCCATTTGAAACCAAATCCTGTGGCTCTCCAACCCTCTATCTCCAGCAATCTCAACCAAAGTTTTGCTGTACTGTTACTCAATTGAGTAGAACATTGGGTTTTGGGCATTTTGGTATTGACAAATAAGAAGTAATGTAAGAATTATTATCATCTGCAGAACTACAGAAATGAGCTAAGACAAGATGGCAAAAAAGATAAATTTATCACAGCATAGTAACACAAGAATTTGGCTGCAAGAGCAAAACACTGCCTTAGAAGTAGAGCCCCAAAACTGGTTCAGTTCCAGAAGAGCCTTCAATGCCAGCTCAGCAGCATCTCCACTTCTCCATGGGCTGGCCCCAGCATCAGGCACTCCTGCACTGAGTCTCTCTGTCAGCCACTCAAGCTCCATCTGCTCTTGCCATGCTGACATTGAGGAGGATCTCTTTTCTTCAGATGAAGCAAAGAGAAAGGCAGCAGAAAGAAAACTTGACTGCAGCCATGTTCCTACAAGACTGAGCTGGGCTAGAAAAGTGTTGGATGGAGCCACCCTGATTAGTTAGCACTCATCCCTCACACTTTGAAATACCCTGGAGAACAACATTATCTGAAGCAGGGGAAAGGCTTTCTCATACCTTCACTCATCTTGAAATCTGACTGCTAATTCCAGTGCATACATCTAGTTCAAGTATCTGAATAGCTGCTTATTTTCTTCCATATCATGGAAAGAACAGTAATAACCCATATAAATAGAGCAGATTTCTCAGCCCTTGGGTCTAGTTATCAATCAAACAAACATTTAATCAATGACTTTCACTAGCTTTAAGCACACACACCATATCAGTGGGAATTTTAGGTGAATGTCAGATGACATTCTTCAAAATCCACATTATATTACACATAAATGACAGAACCTCTGAGTAGACCCACACACTTCCTTCAGTTTCCAAAAGTAAAAATATTTCCTGTTAAGTGATCAAGGACTCAGGAATTTAAACACAAAGCATAGCTGTGTGCTTAAGCACAAAGCACATGGCTCAAGTGGTTCCTTCTGCATGAAGCCAACACAAACAACTGAAACAATACTGCTGATACTTGCTCCTTCGGTCGAGTCTTGCTGGGAATCACTCAGATTTAATTTACTAATGACTTGCTAATGATGGCAAGAACTTGGAACAGTGCTGCAGTAACCAAATTCCTTCTGGAGAGGCACCCAGGAGAGCTCACTCTTGGGCAGGCACAGGCCAGGGCAGCCTAATGGCTTGGCAAATGTGTTTTGCACAGAGTAATCCAGAAATTAAATGGCTAACAGTAAAAACTAACGGGGACTTACACCAGAATAAAAATATTTAATGAACTGTGGCATTACTACCACTCGTCCTCTAGGAAAGCTTCAAGGTCATAGAATCATAGAAATATTTAGGTTGGAAAAGATCTTTAAAGCTGTCAAGTTCAACCACAGCTGGGAGTCAATTAATTTCTGTAGGCTCAAGATTTGAGTCTCTGGTACATCTGGATGAAGGTAACCAGGCTCAGGTAATTGGTCTGGGTTACTTATACTCTCCTGAATTTGTCCTTGCACAGCTTTGATTTCTTTGCAATAGGTATAAATTCTGTAAGCAAGCACAAACCCAGCAGGTCTTGTGCTGAGTATTTCTTGAAGGTGGAACACCAAGAATTGCTTTTCCCATTGCAGTTACTACTTCAAATCACATCATCTACTTGTCTCATCTCCAAGTACTGCTGCTTCCAAAGCAAA